GAGTAAGCCCTTCTTTCTGTTGTTTAGGGTAAGGTTTCCTTAATAAGCCCCTTTCAAACACAAAGGGCACCCTGTCTATTCCTAGGTTACTCTTGGAGTCAAGCATGGAGGTAGGACCCAGATGCACAAAGCAAAGGGCAGGCAACCCTGGAACCCAACGTTTGTGCCGTTGGTTTGGGCTACGCTGCAAAAAGGCTTTAGGGTTTAGGGGTACAAAGGGTACAAAGGGTCCAAAGGGTTTAGGGGTTTAGGGGTTTAGGGGTTTAGGGGTTTAGGGGTTTAGGGTTTAGGGTTTAGGGTTTAGGGTTTAGGGTACTTATAAGTAATGAGGGCTAGAATTAGGGTAACTACGGCTATAGCCCTACATAGAGTTCTTAGAACCCTACGTATAAGTACCCAGGGACCTCCAGGCGGTGGTAGTAGTACCCCAACTCCCTTGCTCACTTGGGCTTGGGTTTTGCGATGTTGAAACCCCAAGCCCTGAACGGTTGGGAAGGTAGTGGCAGGCCCAGGTTAATCGGCCTCATAGGGTTTGAGCTTTGGGACGGGAGTGTGTTTTTTTTGGGGGTGTAGAGTTTAGGGTTTAGGGTTTAGGGTTTAGGATTTAGGGGGGAGTTGCAGTTTGCTGAAAAAACTTGGGCTTTTAGGATTCGCGATTTCTTCTTCTTCGTGATAGTGCGATGTTTATTTTTTGTTGGTTTTATTATGACTATTTTTAAATTCTTCTTCTCATTCATCATTATGATTATTATGTCTTTTAATGTTGGAAACCTTTTCGGGTTTGAAAGCTTGCCGAATTTTCACTTAGCGCACACTTGGTCCGACCACGCCAGGTGAGCACACCGCTCTTTGAGAAGCCGCCAGGCACCGCTGTTCATCTCGTTCTCAGGGCCCCAGTGTAAACACGGTTTAGGGTTTAGGGGTTAGGGTTTCCGGTTTAGGGTTTAGGATTTCGAGCCCGAGGAGCGATCCCCCATTTCCTTTTCTGTAGGCCTCTTCGGGCCGCTTTCGGCACAGTTGCATAACCGAAGAGAGCCCAGCCAACCTTGTTGGCAAACACGTACAGGGGCGCCCCCCCCCCCCCCCCCCTTTGGGACTAAATGAACCCTAAAATTGGGGGTCATATACCCTTGAGTACTATACTTCCTATTAAGGCATATGAACCATAAACCCTTTTAGGGCTCATTTCGACCCCAAGGCCATGCTGCCATTCCCGGCAATGACGGCAGCGTCCTGCTTTTTGTTGCGGATTGTTGCAAGTGTCGCCGTTCTTGAAGGAGCTGTTGGCACCAAGTTGGGTAGAGTGTTACGGCGCACAGGCCGTGGGGGCAGAGCTTTGCGTGGGGGGGGGCGCGATGATATGGCGTGGAGCGCGCAAATTTGAGCGGTGTCAACGCCAGAGTTCATCTCTTGAGCGTCTTGCTTCTGTCCATTTAAACACCGCCATGAAGACAGGGGAGTCGCTGGTGCAGCAGGATTCAAAGGTTCAGAACTTCCAGGAAGCTGGGCGTGGAATTTTCAAACGATCCCAACTCTCACACGACCGGAGATTCTTTCCCAGGCATGTGAACAACCTACCACATGGGCTTGGCTAAATCCCGGGCCACTTCGGGGCGTTGATTGTGGCAGGTTCCATAGCTCCTAGTTTGGATCACCGCCATGTATACTTTTCTTGCCTGGAAGCTTAAAACCTGAACTCTGAACCCTAAACCCTGAACCCTGAACCCTAAACCCTGAATCCTAAACTCTGAACCCTAAACCCTGAACTCTAAACGCTGAACCCGCAGACTTCCCCATGGCTCTTCCTTTTTTCAGCCTCCCTCTGGGGCGCGGCTGTCCCAGAAGCTGACAGGGGAAGCCACCCCTTGCCCCTCAGGGCCCGAAAGAGTTGTGGGATATAATATTGGGTTTAGGGTTTAGGGTTAAGGAAGTTTTTGGCCCTAAGCCCTAAACCCGAAACCCTAAACCCGGGCCTTAAGGTGTCTTCCAACAAACTTTGCCGATGATAGAGGCCAGTCAGAAGAAATAGCCTTTAGCAGCTTTAGTAGCTTTACATACCGCTCCTAGAAGCCTTACTATCAGAAGTAGCCCTTCGGGATTAGGGTTTAGGGCCATAGCCTTTAGTAACTTTAGCGGCTTTATATACCACTCCTATCCGGTTAGGGTTTAGGGTTTAGGGCTTAGGGGTTTAGGGTGTAGGGTTTAGGGTTTAGGGTTTAGGGTTTAGGTCCATGTACCTATGGAGGAGGTAGGCCCTTGGGACACTGTGCATTTTCCCTTATTTGGGCTTAAGGGGATCATATTCAGTCGACATTTTTGAGAGGGTTTTATCCTAGTTGTTAGTTACCATATGATAAGGAAGCCATATCGCTGGAGAGGCACCAGATTCCTTTATGGTTATCAGTTCTCGTCGTTTTTTCACCTAAACCCTAAAACAGAAGAAGACATGAACATTTTTCGTCTTCCCGAAGCCCTAAACCTTAAACCATAAAACGACGAAAACCGCCGCCCTACTAGAAAACCTTGCCCCGAGTGACTTCTTGCTAGCATTTGCTAAAGAACCCCAAAAGGGGAAAACAAAAAAAAAAACACAAACAATCCCTATATTACCCTTATCAGGGAGAACATTTTTGTATTTTTTTGTGGGCGTTCTTAAGCAATTAGTAGCTTGGGGGACTTTGGGGCACCTGGGGGCGCGTTGCAGGCCCGTCTGTCAGCGTGCCGTTTGCAGGGCCTTTTCAGGGTTTAGGGTTTAGGGTTTTTTTCCTTTTTCCTCCTGGGGATGCGTGTTGTCCACTGACGTACTATTTGGGATGTTCCAAGTTATGCTAACAGTCCTTAATATCCTAGGTAGGATAAGGGGGACCCTTAAAGGGGACCCCTTCTGAACCCTCTTGTGGCTCTCTTAAACAGGGATCCCTACAATAGGGATCGTAGTAGCCCCTAGTGTAATAAGCCCTATTGGCGACGGTTAGTAGCTTAGCATAAGGGAGAACATCCCAATGTACCATGCTTTTGAGCTTGGATGTCTGTGGCCCTTCAGCAACAGCATGCTGATGGTGTGCGTTGCAGCTTGCTTATCTTCCACGGGGGGCTTGAGGAAATGTACAGCTGCCGCAACAAATTCGTCGATCCCTTCCCGAGCTCCAGCAACCGGGCCATTGGTGAGTAAAGCCCTAAACCCTAAACCCTAAACATTGCTGATGAATGCTGGTTCAGGCTGGTGGCTCGTGGCACCTTTTTTCCTGCTGAGCTTGCATTGCAAAGCATGGCGAGCAGCTGCGACAACCGCCCGATGGCTTGTCAAGAGGATGCAAGCTTATCGAGGCGAAAATGACTGTCTCGGTCAGGCCGTTTGCTGTTGCAAGCTTGCCAAAAGAATGGCTTGCCGGGGGCAGATGCCGATCTACTCCCTTACGAGCCATAAGCCCCAAACTCTCCACTGTTGCATGGCTGTGTGGCAGAGCTCTCTAACCCCTTACGTACAAGTCATGCAAGCAGGGCCGTTTGGCAGCAGGGCTCTTCCAACCCTAAACCCTAAACCCTAAACCCTAAACCCTAAACCCTAAACCCTAAACCCTAAACCCCCAGCCCACATGGCCCAGCTGGCCCCTTGGCTTGGCCTTGTCATGGCGCACGGCACACCCAGGATGGGCTATTAGGCCCTAGAAATCCCCAGAAGCAACCCTCTAAAAGGGCCTTTCGAAGGGGTGAAAGGGTTTAGGGTTTAGGGTTTAGGGTTTAGGGTTTAGGGTTTAGGGTTTAGGGTTTAGGGTTTAGGGTTTAGGTGTAATAGCCCGTCCTGGACGCTGACCCTGTATTTGTGCGGTTCTGAAGCCTTGAAACTTGAGGCTGAGCGAAGGTGGGAACCCAAAGACCGGCTTGCCTAACCCTAAACCCTAAACCCTAAACCCTAAACCCTAAACCCTAAATCTCCTGCAGTCCTTTCCTCGCATGTTTGAGCCAGCAACTACCCCACACCTCTCAGCCCACAGAAACAGCAACATGCAAGCACGTTTCAAAATAAGAGACCCAGGGACTCTTAAGGACTTCACAGCCTCGGCCGCCCCGGATGCCCCAAGCAAAGTCTCCTCAGCCCGAACTCGCCCCCACGAAGCCGAAGACCCCGGGAGCCCCCGAACTGGCGAGTCCCTTGTGCTCCTGATCATGGAGCCCCGCCTCCGCATTGTGTTTAAACCCAAAGGGTCCTAAGTACCTATATGGGGGGGACACACTTGCCCAAACCATAAGAGTAATTCCAATTATCGGTGACTATAGACCCTATAAACCCCAAACCCTAAACCCCAAACCCTATTTCTACTAACTTAGGACCCGTTTGGGAAAGTTGGCCCGCGCTAAGAATGGCTCAGGCCGCCTTTGCCAGGAGAAAAGTCGCCACGCCCTTGACCTCAGCACTCCACCCCTAGAATTGCCCCCATTTTGCATCCGTCTGACCCTTAAACCTTAAACCCTAAGCCCTAAACCCTAAACCCTAAACCCTAAACCCTAAACCCTAAACCCTAAACCCTAAACCCAACCCTCTAAATATCCGTAAATGCACGGGTACCCTTTTCAGAGCCGGTCTAAGGCATGCTTTGACACACTATTAGGGTTTAGGGTTCAAAGGGTTTAGGATTTCCACTCCCCCTTGGAAGTTCAATGGGTACTTATCATTAGGGCTATCCGTAGGGTAAATAGAGTATCGGCTGGTTGGTTACAACCTTTCTGTGATACTATCTCCCTACTTGAGAGCGCCCATGAATATGCAGGTAAGCCTATTCATGAACCGGAGGATGGCTCATTGCTTGCCCGCGCATGCTGTTTGCTAGCCGAGCCATGCACGCGCGACATTGGGTTCCGTAGCATTCACGGTTTAGGGTTTAGGGTTTAGGGTTTAGGGTTTAGGGTTTAGGGTTTAGGGTTTGGGGAGCCTTGCGTGCAGCAGCATATAGTCGACAGTTGCCATCACATGAAAGAGAAGCGGCGTGCTCCTGAGCCGCATGGATCCAGGCCCTCCGATGTACACCGTGACCTTGCTGACGCTTTCAGGCTCACCCAGCGCGGAGTTCGAGCTGCCGCCCGCCACCTCGGTCGGCGAGATCTTGCAGAAGGCTCGCGCCACGGCGTCCGACAGTCGGACGCAGTTGAAGTTGCTTCTTCAGGGACGGGCACTGCAGGCGAAAGAGACCTTATGTTCCCTCAGCTTGCCTCCGCCTCCCGCTGTGGTGGAGCTGCAGCTTATCTGCCAGCCGAGGCTCATCGAGCGCATCGCTGCACAAACCTCCGACTACCAGAGGGTATCTATCGGGATCTGTGGGCAGCGGCGGGCGGGAAAGACGTCTCTCTTGAACCAATACATCGAGCGAGCCTGCGTTGCAGATGAGTTTGTGAGCGTCATCTCCATCGACTTTAAGGTTGCGAATTTACGCGTCGAACGTGACGAAGCCTTCGTTCCTGTCAAGCTCCTTCTTTGGGACTTGCATGGGCTTCATCGTCCGCACACGCCGCCTGTGCACGCCAACATGTTCCGGCACATGGCGGCCATACTCTTCGTTGCCGACCTGGATACTCCATGGTTCGGGGTTGTCTTGAACCATTTTGACCTCCTTGTTTCCTTCCATACACATCTTGTAGGCACATGCTGATGGACTGAGAACCCCCATGACCATGTTCAGACAGTCAGTTGAGGAGTCGCTTGCACTGGACGAGATTCAGAGACTACTGGACATTTCCGCGCCCACGTCCGTCCTGGAGAGAGTGGTTGTGGGCAACAAGGTGGGCCACGTTGCCCCGATTATTACATTGACTCTGCCTTTTGTTGGTGTTCTCCCGGAGGGGGTGGGCAAAGGGGGGAAGGGGGAAGCGTCCTAGAAACTTGAAACCCTTATACAGACCAACGCGAACCCGAAGAGGGACTAAATCAGTCAACGCTGTCAACACCATAGTCAGTCGTCCCCGGAACTGCCCCACCCCGCCCTCCACTCTCGAAGGTTTTTTTCTGATTTACATGAGTGCAGCAACCCTTCTGCCTTGTATGCCCTAGAAGCCTTTGTCTCGATATGTTCGTGACAGCAGAAATGGCCGCTAGGCAGGGGGGTGGGATATTTCACATTTGCCCTTGTCGGGTTGAGAGAGAGGGCCCTACTCATGAACACTTTTCAAGGGTTTCTTACGTTCCAACCTCGAGAAGTGGATGCCTACGAATGTCAATTTCCAACCCCCGGCGATGGCAGGCAGATGCGTGTGCCCCCGGAAGCAGCGAAGCAGCACAGTCCTTCGCTGGGGAGCGTGCCCTGCCCTACTTCGAGACCTCTGCCAAGGACTATGAGAGTGTAGAGTCGGCGATGCACCAGATTCTGCCCCCCTGAGTCGTCAATAGAGTGGGTTTGGAAACAAAAGAGAGGGTTGGGGATATCTGCTGCATGCCTCCTGCAAAAGGGTAGGGCTGTACTGTGCAACATGGGGGGGTCCTGAAGTCCGAAGAGATGTCCGGCCTAAACAGCCCCTACAAGCTGCCAGACTTGATCCTCTCACCTTCAACCCCCCCCCCCCCCCCCCCCTCCCTCCCAAAGCCCTGAACCCCTGAACCCCTGAACCCCTAAACCCTAAACCTAAAACCCTAAACCTGAAAACCCTAAACCCCTAAACCCCAAACCTCAACCCTTGACCCGTCAACCCTTCCCTTCAGTCTAAACAGGCCCACTCCATTCCTACGACCGTCATATGCCCACACTGCCCCTGGTGGGCCGCTTCTTTCTGTTGGGACAAAGTGTACCCACCGAATTCAACCATGCCATCTGCCAACTTTGCCAACAGCGACACCCTCACCCTAAACCCCAAGGCCTAGAAGCCCCTAAAACCCTAAACGCCCCCTGAACCTAAGGCTTTCCGTGCTGGATAAGCTGGAGCTGAAGTTGACGCCCTTGTCCAAGGGCCCTCCACCACCTCCCCCGCCCAATCGCTGCACCTTGCTATGAGTACCTGCGCAATAACCCTAAACCCGAAACCCTAAACCCTAAAGCTTTGCCAGAGGGAACATGATCCGAGACCGACCTTGAAACCCCGCATTGCTGTGGCTAGTCGGGTGCCAAAAAAAGCTTTGCCAGGGTTGCGGGTGGGGGGGGAGGGGGGGTGGAGGGCAGCGCGAAGCAACCTGCCATTCTGCGCCTGAACGGGAGCTGAAGGACCCGCAAATGGACAGCTGCGCGTGGACCAAATGACCCTCGGTTTAGGTTAGGGTTTAGGGTTTAGGGTTTAGGGTTTAGGGTTTAGGGTTTAGGGTTTAGGGTTTAGGGTTTAGGGTTTAGGGTTTAGGGGTATAGGGTTTAGGGTTTAGGGTTTAGGGTTTAGGGTTTAGGGGTCCAACCTCGCCGTCAGTGCTACTTGGGACATCGTGGGCTGCACTAAATTTCCATTTCGGCTCGTCAGACTTTCGGGACGGGAGATGCCCAGATGGTTGAGCTTAGGGTATAGGGTTTAGGGGTATAGGGTTTAGGGTTTAGGGGTTAGGGTTTAGGGTTTAGGGATCCGCATTCCTGCTGTTTACAGTCACCATTAGCGAACGTTTCAGTTCATGAGGTTCGGTGGTCGGGCTTTCCAAAGGAGTGCTTTGACTTTTTGGCTATGATCCAGAAGTGTCTACACAACATGTATCCAAGCTATGCCCATTGTAGTCAAGTAGGCCCCTAGAATAGCTCAGAGGGGGCTTGGTTTAGTGAATGGGGCTCGGCTTGTGTGTGTTATGTGCTGCTTGCGCGCAAGATTGTTTGCTAATCATCTGCCTTCACGTAGATCACCGCAGATAGGGCCCGTTGCGATCGCAGACGCGCACAACGAGACGGTGACCGACCAAAGACGCAATCTGCTACGTACCATGATGGACAGATCAGAGTTGTGGCTCGAGATCCTAGTGACTCCGCACTTGAAAACATGACTGCCTACATGTATACTGTAAACCCACAGCCTACGTCAGCCTTCGTACACGCATGCTTACAGATGTGTATGTCTTCAGGCGCATTCTTTGCCGGTACAGAATGTTTTGCCGAGCCCTGCGCGCACGGGGTTCCGTAGCACTGGTCATATAGCACACGGTGCCACTCTGGCGGACCCATCATTTTGCTCTTGGACTCCCTAGCAGCAGCATATAGTCGACAGTTGCCATCACGTGAAATGGAAGCGGCGTGGTCCTGAGCCACGTGGAACCAGGCCCTCCGATGTACACCGTCACCTTGCTGACGCTTTCAGGCTCACCCAGCGCGGAGTTCGAGCTGCCGCCGGCCACCTCGGTCGGCGAGATCTTGCAGAAGGCTCGCGCCACGGCGTCCGACGGCCGCGCGCAGTTGAAGCTGCTACTTCAGGGTCGGGCGCTGCAGGCGAAGGAGACCTTATGTTCCCTCGGCTTGCCTCCGCCTCCCACTGTGGTGGAGCTGCAGCTTATCTGCCAGCCGAGGCTCGTCGAGCGCATCTCTGTACAAACCTCCGATTACCAGAGGGTATCTATCGGTATCTGCGGGCAGCGGCGGGCGGGAAAGACGTCTCTCATGAACCAATACGTCGATCGAGCCTTCGTCACGGATGACTTATTGAGCGTTATCCCCATCGAATTCAAGATTGCGAACCTACGTGTCGAACGTGACGAAGCCTTCGTTCCTGTCAAGCTTTTTCTTTGGGACTTGCATGGGCGTCATCGGTACGAGCCTCGTGTGCACTCGAACATGTTCCGGAACATGGTGGCCATACTCTTCGTTGCCGACCTGGATGCTCAACTGGCTTTCTCGTACCATGTTGACCTTTTTGTTCTCTCCATACACGTCTTCTATGCACATGCCGATAGACTGAGAACCCCCAGGTTCAGCCAGTTAGTTGACCCACGCAAGGCTTGTTTTGACAGTTTGCGTCTCAAAGCAAGAAGCAAAGCCAGTCAGTTGAGGAGTCGCTTGCACTAGACGACATTCAGACACTACTGGACATGTCTGCGCCCACAACCGTCCTGGAGAGAGTACTGGTGGGCAACAAGGTGGGCCACATTGCCCTCGTTGTTTCAATTGGCGTTCTTCCGGAAGAGGGCAAAGGTAAGCGCCCTAGGCCTTATTTAATTGGGCTTCAAATAAGGCACAGTAGTCCAGCCCCCCCGAACCCCCCCCCCTCCTGCCTCCGCTCTAAACGGTGCTTCTTATGACTTAACTGAGTGCAACAACCCTAAGCCGGTTTGTTGCGAAGTGATAGCAGAAACAGCCGGCGCGCTGGGCTCGCTCGTCGTTTCCCCTTGTCGGGTTGAGAGAGGGCCCTAGTCATGATCATTTCTTCAGAGGTTTTTTTTACGCACCAACCTCGAGAAGTGGATGCCTAAGCCTAAGCCTATCAAATTTCCAATACCTGCGCTTGCAGGCAGATGCGTGCGCCCCCGGAAGCAGCGAGGCAGCACAGGCCTTCGCTGCAGAGCGGGCCGTTCCCTACTTCGAGACCTCTGCCAAGGACTATGAGAGTGTGGAGCCGGCGATTCACCAGATTCTGCCCCCCGGAGTCGTTCCTTTTAAAGAGTGGGGTTTAAACGAACAACAGGGAGGGTTAGGATACCTGCCGCAATCATCCTGCAAGCAGGCGGGGGTTTGGGTCTTGCTGTACCTGCCGTGCGCATGGGGCTCTCCCCACAAGCTGCCCAGACTTGATCCTCCTAAACCCTCCTGCCTTGCGCGAGCGCGAGAGCCGAAACCTTAAATCTCAAGCCCTCAATCCGTCAGCACCTTCGTTCAGACGAGGCCCCCTTCCTAGCATGGCAGCCCATCTGCCAACTTTACCCGAAAGACACACCCTCACCCTTGAACCATCTTAAGCATATATATATATATATAAGTCACAAACCCTAAACACCCCAAAACCCACCCTGAACCTAAGGCTTTCCGTACTGGATAAGCTGGAGCTGAACTTGACGCCCTTGTCCAAGCACGAACTCGTCCCTCCACCACCTCCCCCGCCCAATCGCTGCACTTTGCAATGAGCCCCTGCACTTTCTGGGGCGTTTGGGCCCTTGAGGGCTCTCGTTAATAGCGATATAACAAGCTTGTGTAAGGGTTGCGGGTCAAAGGGCGCGGGAGCGCCAAGCACGCTGCCATTCTGCTCCTGAACTGGAGCTGAAGTAATGCAAGTGGACAGCGGCCCGCGGACCAAATGTTCCTCGCGGTTTATGTTTAGGGTGTTAGGGTGTAGGGTGCAGAGTTTAGGGTTTAGGGTTTAGGAATTAGGTTCAGGGTTAAGGGTTCAGGGAACCAACCTCGTAGTCAGGGCTACTTGGGAAATTGTCATTGTGGGCTGCACTAATTTTTCATTTCGGCTCGACGGGAGATGCCCAGATTGTTGAGTGACGGGATCTGCATTCCGATTATTTGTTACTTGGGCGAATGTAGAACTTCATGTGGTTGGGTGGTCGGGCTTGCCAAAGGAGACTTTTGTGGCTATGATCCAGAAGTGTCAAGACAGGGCACTTGTGCCTCTACGACATGTGTCCAACCTATGCCCATTCAAGTCAAGTGAACGGGGCTCGGCTTGTGTGTGTGTGTGTGTTATATGCTGCTTGCGTGGTTGCTAATCATCTGCCTTCACGTAGATCAGCGCAGATAGGGCACGTGGCGATCGCAGATTCGCAGAAGGGGACGGTGACCGACCGAAGATGTAATGTGCTACGTACCATGATGGACAGTTTAGAGGTGTGGCTCCTAGTGACTCCGCACTTGAAAAAACATGACTGCCTACATGTATACTTGCACCACATCAGCCTTCGTAATCCTTCGTACACACAGGCACATTTCTTGCCGGTGCAGTAGAATATGTTTTGCCGAGCCCTGCGCGCAAGGCGTTCCGTAGCATTAGTCGTAGACCACGGCACCACTCTGGAGGACCTATGTTTGCACGGATTTTGCTCTTGGACTTTCCAGCAGCAGCAGGTAGTCGACAGTTGCCATCACATGAAAGAGAAGCCACGTGCTCCTGAGCCGCATGAACCAGGCCCTCCGATGTACACCGTCACCCTGCTGACGCTTTCAGGCTCACCCAGCGCGGAGTTCGAGCTGCCGCCGGCCACCCCGGTCGGCGAGATCTTGCAGAAGGCTCGCGCCACGGCGTCCGACGGCCGCGCGCAGTTGAAGCTGCTACTGCAGGGTCGGGCGCTGCAGGCGAAGGAGACCTTGTGTTCCCTGGGCTTGCCTCCGCCTCCCTCTGTGGTGGAGCTGCAGCTCATCTGCCAGCCGAGGCTCGTCGAGCGCATCTCTGCACAAACCTCCGATTACCAGAGGGTGTCTATCGGGATCTGCGGGCAGCGGGGGGCGGGAAAGACGTCTCTCATGAACCAATACGTCGATCGAGCCTTCTTTGCGGATCAACTTGAGCAGCGCGTCATCTCCATCCACTTCAAGTCTGCGAACCTGCGCGCCGAACGCGGCGAAGCCTTCGTTCCTGTCAAGCTCCTTCTCTGGGACCTGCATGGACGGCATCATCCGCAAGAGCCTGTGCGCGCCAGCATGTTCCGGCATGTGTCAGCCGTACTCTTTCTTGCCGACCTGGACACTCCAGGGTTGGGTTTTCTTGATTCGTTTAGGGTTCAGGGTTTAGGGTTTAGGGTTTAGGGTTTAGGGTTTAGGATTTAGGGCACTTTTTCCCATATACACGTCTTCTACGCAGACAACCCCCCCCCCCCCCCCCCATGACCATGTTCAGCTAGTCAGTTGAGGAGTCGCTTGCGCTAGACGAGATTCAGGGACTACTGGACAGTTCCGCGCCAGTCCCTGTCCTGGAGAGAGTGCTGGTGGGCAACAAGGTGGGCCACGTTCCCCCTGACTATTTCACGGAGGGCAAAGGGGGAGGGTGTAAGCGCCCTAGAAACCCTTAATTAGACCAGAATAAGGCACAATAGTCCAGTCCTCGAACCCCCCTTCCTGCCTCCGCTCTAAGCGTGCAAGAAGCCTCAGCCGCCTCAGCCCAAAGCCTTTGTCACGAAATGATAGCAGAAACAGCCCGCGCACTGGGATCACTTGTATTTTCCCCTTGTCGGGTTGACAGAGGACCCTCTTCACTGATCATTTTTTTCAGAGTTTTTTTTACGGGCCTTGAGAACTGCGCTTGCAGGCAGATGCGTGCGCCCCCGGAAGCAGCGAGGCAGCACAGGCCTTCGCTGCGGAGCGGGACCTGCCCTACTTCGAGACCTCGGCCAGGGACTATGAGAGTGTGGAGCCGGCGATTCACCAGATTCTGCTGCCCGGAGTCGTGTGTTTTAAAGAGTGGGCTTCAAGGAGACAAAAGGGAGGGTTAGGGATATCTGCTGCAGGCCTCCTGCAAAAGGGGTGGGGGTTTGGGGTGTGGCTGTGCCGTGCAACCTGGCTGGGGGTCCTGAAGTCCAAAGAGATGTCCGGCCTAAACAGCCCCTGCAAGCTGCCAGACTTGATCCTCTCACTTTCAACCCCCAAAACCCTAAACCCATCTAAACCCCTATAACCCCTAACACCTAAATCTCAGCCCCTCAGTCCGTCAACCCCTTCTGTCAGACGAGGTTCCATTCCTAGCACCGTCATATACCCACACTGCTCAAACACCCTAAAACGCCCCCTGCACCTAAGGCTTTCCGTGCTGGATAAGCTGGAGCTGAAGTTGACGCCCTTGTCCGCCCCTCGACCACCTCCCCTGCCCGATCGCTGCACTTTGCAATGAGCACCTGCGCTTTTTGGGGCGTTGGTGAAATCAGGGGTTTTGCGCTTTGGCCCCTGGAGGGCTCTCGTTTATAACTATATATAAAAAGCTTGTGTAAGGGTTGCGGGTCAAAGGGCGGGTGAGCGCGAAGCACGCTGCCATTCTGCTCCTGAACTGGAGCTGAAGTACATGCAAGTGGACAGCGACCCGCGGACCAAATGTTCCGCGGTTTATGTTTTAGGGTGTTAGGGTTTATAGGTTTTAGGCAACCACCTTCGGGACATTGTCATTGCGGGCTGCCCTAAATTTCCATTTCGGACTTTCCGGACGGGAGATGCCCGGATGGTTGAGCGATGGGATCCGCATTCCTGCCCTAAACCCTAAACCCTAAGCCCTAAACCCTAAATGCGGATTCGCCCCAGCTGTGCAGGGGGTAAAAAAAACCCTAAACTTAGCGAACGTAGCGCTTCATGAGGTTCGGTGGTCTGGCATGCCCAAGGAGTGCTTTGGGTTTTGTGGCTATGATCCAGAAGTGTCAATACATGCCAGTTGTGCCCATACGGTAGATACACCACATGTACCCAAGCTATGCCCATTCTAGTCCCCCTCTTGTAGCTCCGAGCGGGCTTGGTTTATAATGAATGGGGCTCGGCTTGTGTGTGTGTTATGTGCTGCATGCGTGCAAGATTGTTTGCTAATCATCTGCCTGCACGTAGCTCAGCACAGATAGGGCCCGTTGCGATCGCAGACGCGCACAACGAGACGGTGACCGACCGAAGACGTAATGTGCTACGTACCATGATGGACAGTTTAGAGGTGTGGCTCCTAGTGACTCCGCACTTGAAAAAACATGACTGCCTACATGTTTCCTTGCACCACATCAGCCTTCGTAATCCTTCGTACACACAGGCACATTTCTTGCCGGTGCAGTAGAATATGTTTTGCCGAGCCCTGCGCGCAAGGCGTTCCGTAGCATTAGTCGTAGACCACGGCACCACTCTGGAGGACCTATGTTTGCACGGATTTTGCTCTTGGACTTTCCAGCAGCAGCAGGTAGTCGACAGTTGCCATCACATGAAAGAGAAGCCACGTGCTCCTGAGCCGCATGAACCAGGCCCTCCGATGTACACCGTCACCCTGCTGACGCTTTCAGGCTCACCCAGCGCGGAGTTCGAGCTGCCGCCGGCCACCTCGGTCGGCGAGATCTTGCAGAAGGCTCGCACCACGGCCTCCGATGGCCGCGCGCAGTTGAAGCTGCTACTTCAGGGTCGGGAACTGCAGGCGAAGGAGACCTTGTGTTCCCTGGGCTTGCCTCCGCCTCCCTCTGTGGTGGAGCTGCAGCTCATCTGCCAGCCGAGGCTCGTCGAGCGCATCTCTGCACAAACCTCCGATTACCAGAGGGTGTCTATCGGGATCTGCGGGCAGCGGGGGGCAGGAAAGACGTCTCTCATGAACCAATACGTCGATCGAGCCTTCGTCACGGATGAGTTTGTGAGCGTCATCCCCATCGAATTCAAGATTGCGAACCTACGTGTCGAACGTGACGCAGCCTTCGTTCCTGTCAAGCTCCAACTTTGGGACTTGCACGGTAGAAGAAGCAATCAGTACGAGCCTCGTGTGCACTCGAACATGTTCCGGAACATGGTGGCCATACTCTTTGTTGCCGACCTGGATACTTGTTCGGGTTGGCTTGAACCATATTGGCTAGTGACCTTCTTTTTCTCTCCATACACGTCTTCTATGCGCATGCCGATAGACTGAGAACCCCCATGTTCAGCCAGTTAGTTGACCACGCAAGGCTTTTGGACAGTTTGCGTCTCAAAGCAAAAACTGCCAGTCAGTTGAGGAGTCGCTTGCGCTAGACGAGATTAAGACACTACTGGACATGTCTGCGCCCACGTCCGTCCTGGAGAGAGTACTGGTGGGCAACAAGGTGAGCCAGATTGCCCCGATTGTTGCCCTAAACCCTAAACCCACTTGGTATTCTTCGGGGGAGGGCAAAGGGGGCGCGGGTAAGCGCCCTAGCCCTGAATTAATTGGACCAAAATCAGACACAATAGTCCAGCCCCCCTGAACCCCCCTTCCTGCCTCCACTCTAAACAGTGTTTTTTGAGGACTTAAAGAGTGCAACAACCCTAAGCCGCCGAAGCCCCAAGCCTTTGTCTCGAACTGATAGCAGAAACAGCCCGCGCAGTGGGATCACTTGTATTTTCCCCTTGTCGGCACCCTCTTCATGATCATTTTTCAGACGTTTCGTATGGGCCAAAGTTCGGAACTGGATGCACAGCCTTTGAATTTCCAACTACCTGCGCTTGCAGGCAGATGCGTGCGCCCCCGGAAGCCGCGAGGCAGCTCAGGCCTTCGCTGCGGAGCGGGACCTTCCCTACTTCGAGACCTCTGCCAAGGACTATGAGAGTGTGGAGCCGGCGATGCACCAGATTCTGCCCCCCGGAGTCGTGCTTTTCAAGAGTGGGGTTTAAAAGAACAGAAGGCATGGTTAGGATACCTGCTGCAAGCATCTTGCGAACGGGGGTGGGGGTTTCGGGGTCTTGCTGTGCTGCGCAACATGGAAGTCCAAGAGATGTCCGGCCTAAACAGCCCCCACTGGCTGCCCGACTTGATCCTCTCACCTTCAAGTTTAGGGTTTAGGTTTAGGGTTTAGGGTTTAGGGTTTAGGGTTTAGGGTTTAGGGTTTAGGGTTTAGGGTTTAGGGTTCCCCAAAACCCTAAACCCCAAACCCTCATGCCTTGCGCGAGTGCGAGAGCCGAAGCCGTATGAATCTCAACCCTCAATTCGTCAGCACCTTCGTTCAGACGAGGCTTCATTCCTAGCACCATCATGTAATGTAGGGGTCGGAATACGAACATTATTCCCTTATGGTCCCTGTGAAATTATACTATAAGAACCCCCAAAACCCTATTCTAATTCTTAAGGCCCCTACAGTACCCGCACTGACTCCATGGTGGATGCTACTTCTTCTTCCTAGAAAACCATTCCCACCGAAATCAACCATGCCATCTGCCAACTTTACCCAGAAGACACACCCCTCACCCTTAAACCATCTTCAAGGAAAAGCCCCAAACACTCCAAAACGCCCCCTGAACCTAAGGCTTTCCGTGCTGGATAAGCTGGAGCTGAAGTTGACGCCCTTATCCAAGCACGAACCCGACCCTCCACCACCTCCCCCGCCCAAACACTGCACTTTGCAATGAGTACCTGCACTCTTTGGGGGAAGCGTTGCTAATATTTCAAGGGATTTTGATATTCAACCCCTGTAGGATATAATTAGCTTTACCAGGGTTGCGGGTCAATTACCCTAAACCCTAAACCCAAAACCCGAAACCCGAAACCCTAGGGTGGGTGGGGGGGCTGGAGGGCAGCGCGAAGCCATTCTGCTCCTGAACGGGAGCTGAAAGACCCGCAAGTGGACAGCTGCGCGTGGACCAAACGACCCATATAGGGTTTAGGGCTTAGGGTTTCAAAGTTTTAGATTTAGGGTTTAGGGTTTGGAGGACCAACCTCACGTCAGGGCTACTTGGGACATTTTTGGCTGCAGTAAATTCTCATTTCGGCTCGTTCGACCTTCGGGACGGGAGATGCCCAGATGGTTGAGCGATGGGATCCTCATTCTTGCTATTTACTGGGTTTAGGGTTTAGGGATTAGGGTTTAGGGTTTAGGGTTTAGGGTTAGGGTTTAGGGTTGACTAGCGTAAGTAGCACTTCATGAGGTTGGGTGGTCGGGCTTGCTAAAGGAGTGCTTTGACTTTAATCAGTGGCTATGATCCAGGAGTGTCAATACATGCCACTTACCGGGCTTGGGTGCATGGGCTCCGTCCGTTTGTGTTTGCTGCTTACGTGCCAGATTGTTTGCTCATCATCTGTCGTCAAGTATCTCAGCACAAATAGGGCCCGTTGCGGTTACCACGATGGACAGTTCAGAGTTGTTTGGCTCCTATAGTGACTCCGCTCTTAAAATAAGCACTGCCTACATGTATACTTGCAGCCTACGTCAGCCTTCATAATCCTTCGCACACACGGGCGCATGCCTTGCCGGTGCATTATAATGCCCTGCGTGCACGGGGTTCCGTTGCATTGGTCATAGAACACGGCCCCACTCTCGAGGACCCATGTTTGCGCGGATTTTGCGCTTGGACTTTCTCGCAGCAGCGTATAGTGAGCAGTTGCCTTCACATGAAAGAGAAGCGGCGTGCTCCTGAGCCGCATGGAACCAGGCCCTCCGATGTACACCGTCACCTTGCTGACGCTTTCAGGCTCACCCAGCGCGGAGTTCGAGCTGCCGCCGGCCACCTCGGTCGGCGAGATCTTGCAGAAGGCCCGCGCCACGGCGTCCGACGGCCGCGCGCAGTTGAAGCTGCTACTTCAGGGTCGGGAACTGCAGGCGAAGGAGACCTTGTGTTCCCTGGCCTTGCCTCCGCCTCCCTCTGTGCTGGAGCTGCAGCTCATCTGCCAGCCGAGGCTCGTCGAGCGCGTCGCTGCAATACCCTTCGACTACCAGAGGGTATCTATCGGGATCTGCGGGCAGCGGCGGGCGGGCAAGACGTCTCTCTTGAACCAATACGTCGAGCGAGTCTTCGACGCGGATCACTTTGTGAACGTCATCTCCATGCACTTCAAGTCTGCGAACCTACGTGTCGAACGTGACGAAGCCTTCGTTCCTGTCAAGCTCCTTCTTTGGGACTTGCATGGACGTCATCATCCGTACGAACCGCCTGTGCCATCCAACATGTTCCGGCACATGGAAGCCGTACTCCTTGTTGCCGACCTGGATACTCCAGGGTCGGGTTTTCTTGAACCATTTTGACCCTTCTTTTTCCATTAACACGTCTTCTAGGCACACCGATGGACTGACAACCTCCCATGACCATGTTCAGCTAGTCAGTTGAGGAGTCGCTTGCGCTAGACGAGATTCAGGGACTACTGGACAGTTCCGCGCCAGTATCCGTCCTGGCGAGAGTGCTGGTGGGCAACAAGGTGGGCCACGTTCCCCCGACTATTGCATTGCTTATGCCTCATTGACTTTCTGGCGGAGGGCAACAGGGGGAGGGGGTAAGCGCCCTATAGAAACCCTTAATTGGACCAACATAAAGGCACAATAGTCCAGTCCCCCGAACCCCCTTCCTGCCTCGGCTCTAAACGGTGTTTGTTATGACTTATAAAGAGTGCAACAACCCTAAGCTGCCCAAGCCCCAAGCCTTTGTCTCGAAATGATAGCAGAAACAGGCCCGCGCACTGGGATAGCTCATACTTTCCCCTTGTCGGGTTGAGAGACGGCCCTATTCATGATCATTTCTTCCACAGGGTTTTTTACGCGCCAACCTCGAAAAGTGGAAGCCTTCCAAAATTTCATCAACTAGCCGCGATTGCAGGCAGATGCGTGTGCCCCCGGAAGCAGCGAGGCAGCGCAGGCCTTCGCTGCAGAGCGGGCCCTGCCCTACTTCGAGACCTCCGCCAAGGACTATGAAACCCTAAACCCTAAACCCTAAACCCTAAACCCCCTCTGCCAAGGACTATGAAACTGTGGAGCTGGCGATTCACCAGATTCTGCCCCTCTGAGTCGTGTTCAATACTTTGGGGACGAAATGAGCCCTAAAAGGGTTTATGGTTCATATGCCTTAATAGGAATTATAGTAGTATAGGGTATATGACCCCAATTTTAGGGTTCATTTTGTCCCAAAGGTAGAGTGAGGTTTGAGGAGACAAAAGGGAGGGTTTTATCTGCTGCAGGCCTCCCGCAAAAGGGGTGGGGGTTTTGGGGTGTGGCTGTGCAGTGCAACATGGATGTCCAAAGATGTCCGGCCTGAACAGCCCCCACAAGCTGCCAGACTTGATCCTCTCACCTTCAAGTTTAGGGTTTAGGGTTTAGGGTTTAGGGTTTAGGGTTTAGGGTTTAGGGTCCTCAACCCCCAAAACCCTGAGCCCCAAACCCTAAATCTCAACTCCTGAATCTGTCAACCCCTTCGTTCAGACGAGGGCCCATTCCGAGCACCGTCATACACCCGCACTGCTCCAGAGGTACGCTTCTTTTTTGTTAGGAGAATGTACTCACCGAAATCAACCATGCCATTTGCCCGCTTGACCCAAAAGACACACCCTCACCCTTAAACCATCTTAAACCACCAGCCCTAAACAGCCTAAAGCGCCACCTGAACCACAGGCTTTCCGTGCTCGACAAGCTGGAGATGGAGTTGACGTCTTTGTCCGGCCCTCCACCACCTCCCCCGCCCAATCGCTGCACCTTGCTATGAGCACCTGCACTCTTTGGGGAAGCGCTGCTTAATAGGGCTTTCTTGTATTACTAGACAATCAGCTTTTAGAAGGGTTGCGGGTCGAAGAGGGGCGGGGGGGGTGGGCAGCGCGAAGCAGCCTGCCATTCTGCTCCTGAACTGGGGCTGAAGCAAGTGGACAGCGGCCTGTCGGCCAAAAGACCTTCGGAGACAGGGTTTACCCAAAGGCTCCTATGTAGTACCTTTTTGGGGGTAGTACACTAAAAATCCCCTATAACTAAACCACAAAGGAACTACATTAGAGCCTCCAGGTAGAATTTAGCAGGGTTTAGGGTTTAGGGTTTAGGGTTTAGGGTTTAGGTTTAGGGTTTAGGGTTTAGGGTTTAGGGTAACCAGCCTCGCAGTCAGGGGTACTTAGGACATAGTGGCCTGCACCAAGTTGCCCTTACGGCTCATCGGGATGGGAGATGCCTAGATGGTCGGGCGACGGGATCCGCATTCCTGCTACGTGGTTTAGGGTTAGGGTTTAGGGTTTAGGGTTTAGGGTTCAGGGTTCAGGGTTTAGGGTTTAGGGTTTAGGGTTTAGGGTTTAGGGAAGCTAAAGTCAGCACTTCATGAGGTTCGGCGGTGGGGCTTGCCAAAGGAGTGCACTTGTGTGACGAAAATCAAGGAGCGCACGGTAAATAGTTGCCGCTTGTCCCTCTACAATAAACCTTGGGGATGAAATGAGCCCTAAAAGGGTTTATGGTTCATATGCCTTAATAGGAAGTATAGTAGTATAGGGTGTCTGACCCAAATTTTAAGGTTCCTTTAGTCCCAAAGGAATATGCCACATGTGCCCAAACTATACTCATTCTGATCTCGGCCTATAGCTCAGAGTGGCCTTGGTTCAGTGCATGGGGCTTGGCTCGTGGTATTTGCTGCTTGTGTGCAAGACTGTACTCTACTCATCTGGCCTTCACGTCGCTCAGCGCAGATAGGGTCCATTGCGATCGCGGATTCGCAGAAAGCACAGTGACTGACCGAAGACGCGATGTGCCACGTACCAGGATGGGCGGCAGTCTCTGCACTTGAAACGAATCTAACTGCCTACACAGCCTACGTCAGCCTTCGTACCAACATGCTTACATATGTGCATGTCTGCAAGTGTGCATGTAGTATGCATGTAGAAGCACTCTAAACTCACAAAGGGCGTGCATCAGGCTAAGGACGCTAGTTGTCCGGTGACCGGGGGTGGTGTTGTGCCCATCAAGTCCCGCGCGCCTTTCTAGCTGCTGGACTGCAGCCGACGAGTGCTGGATACAGGCCGGGAGGTTTGATGGGTCTCCTTTGCTTTCCATGTTTGTTCAGGCCCTGAAGTTGTTGCGCGAACAGTTGAAGCCGAGCCGAGCGAGGGTGCGGGAGCATATCCCGAAAGTGGTTCCCGAGCTGAATCGGGAGGCAGAGCGCCGAGTGTCGAGCACCTTCAGATCATGTCGTGTGCAGAAATAGATCCAGGAACCCTAAACCCTGAAACTTGCCAGAAAAGAGACTTGCTTAGCGGTTCGTCCAGCTATGTGCCAAAACTGGCCCCTGAACCCTAAACCCGGTATTGGAATGACGTGGCATTCCCCACCCCCTCATGCATCATCTCCGAAGGTTGCCGGAGCCCAACCCCTGAAACCAACCACCGCAAGCCCTAAGCCCTAAAGCCCTAAAGCCCTCAAGCCCTAAACCCTAAATCCTAAACCCTAAACCCCGAAACCCTAGACGCCCTAAACTTTTCAGGAGCGCGAGAGCTGGACCCAAAGGAAGCACCCAGATAGCTCGAAATGCCCCTAGAGGGCTCGGCCCGCGACTCGCTAGGATTTGTGGGGTAGTTACATGGTTTCTTAGGGTTTAGGGTTTCTTAGCGGTACTTACATGGTCGCTTAGTTCAAAGGGACCCCTTATGTACCCCTTATAAATCCTATACGACCCAAGGGCCCCTGCTTCAGAACCCCTCTAAAGGAGGTGATGGACCATATTAAGGGCAACCCTAAACCCTAAACCCTAAAATCCTTGAGGATGCTACCTCCCTCGAGTGCCAGCCCGACAGCGGACGTGCTGGGGTCCGCGTCTGGATTCCTCGTACCCTGGCTCGGGAAGCTCGAACATAAGGGACCCCTAATAAAGACCCCCAAATAGTAGGATCTCAGATAATAAGGACCCCAAAAAGGTACCCCCAATATCGTAGATCCGCTCTTGGATGGAGGGAAGTATTGAATTCCGATGCGCTCAAGAAGAGTGTTAAAGGTTTGGGGGGTGGTTGAAAAAGGTTCGGGCTTTGGGCTCTGATTCAGTGTAGCTCTTGGGGCCTGAGGCACTTAGGGGTGCAAGAGGGGTTGTCGCGGTAGGGCGTTTCAACGCCGGCAGGCCCGGTGGTCTCTAGGGGAACGGATTACTCAACCCTAAACCCCAAACCCTAAACCCTAAACCCTATTAGGGGGACCCTGGGGATATAGACCCTCTCAATAAGGTCCCTGTCTGAGAGCCAGAAGAGGGTTGAGAAAGGTTCCCTTTCAAGGGTCCCCCTAAACCCTAAACCCTAAACCCTAATCCCTAAACCCTAAACCCTAAACCCCTAAACCTCTAAACCCCTAAACCCCTAAACCCTAAACCCTAATCCCTAAACCCCCCCAAAAAACTCCCCGAGGACGTGGAGTCTGCGGCTGGCGCCCTCCGCGCCGCCACCGGGCGCCCGGCTGCGCTGCAGCCCTGGCAGCGCGACCACACAGAGCCGAAGTTGTTGCGGGGTTTAGGGTTTAGGGTTTAGGGTTTAGAGGGTTTAAGGGTCGTTTAAGCGCTGTAAACCCTCCCCAAACCCTAAAGCCTCAACCCTAAAAGTTGTTAATTAAGAATCAGAACCCCCTTATCCCGGAAAAAAATACTGGATAAATCCCTCCTGATTGTGCTCACGAGCATGACTCTTGGGTGGGCGATTGTGTCGGAGGGTATATGGTGCATAGGGTTTCGTGTGTAGGGTCCTCAGTCAACAGGATAGAGAGGGGTGAGGGATTCAGGACGACTTTCCGCCGGACGATTTTAAGTCGGAGGGTGTACAGGGAAGCACAAGGGCTGCTGAAGGGTCTTCCGCGCGGCTCCAGTGTTTGTTTCGGCTTGCTTTGGGGTTCTGGGGTGTGGAGTGTAGACAGTCGTTGCGTGGCCTGGCTGCGAAAAAGAGTGTTTGGGCCCTGTACGGTTCCCCAAACCTACTATTTGCTTGAGACCCCCCCCCCCCGGCACAAAAATATGATAAAATATTCTTCCTTTCCGGGCAAAATAGGGTTTTCAGCTACACCAAAAGTTTATAGTAAGTTGGGGGAACTGCAGTTGTGATAGCAAGTTAGAGTTATGTCGTTGGTATATAGTTAACACTATCGCCGAAGGAAATTGTTTACAACAAAAACCTTAAACAAGTATTCATTTTTTGAAAAGTCCTTCAAAAACAAGGGCTTGAAAAAAGTGTAAAAACGTTTTCAAAAAGTCCTAAAGGGAGTCTTAAACAAAGTCTGGGAACAGCCTAGAAAAAAGTTTGAAAGAAGTCTCGGGGAGAGTTTCCTGACGACCTCCACTGCCCTCCGGAGACTCTGCCCGAGACTTTTTCTAGACTTTTTCTAGACGTTTTGGAGATGTTTTAAAGACTTTTTTCTTGGGAAACGTCTGCAAAAAGTTTAAAAGAAGTCCCCCAAATGTCTCCAACAAGTCTAGAAAAAGTCTCGGGCAGAGTCGGAGGTCGCCACTCTTCAGGACTTTGAAGATTTTTTTTAGACTTTTTGGAAGCCCTTGTTTTTTCAAGAGAACTTCTCAACATGATTTGTTAAAGACATTTTTTTAGTTTTTTTAATAAGCCAAGCACATAAAGTTAGAGCCTTGTTTTGGGGGGTACTTGTAAGGCGACTGATTAAGTACCCATGAACCTCCGAGTACATGTTTTTTTCCTCAAGCTTAGTGCTTGAATCCTTCAAAAAAGCTGTGAGCTAAGCAGGGCAACTATGGTTGTAACCTTAGTTCGGGTACCCCTAGACCCTAAACCCTAACCCATAAACCCTAAACCCTAAACCCAAGTGCTCAGGAAGTCCTTCTTTGTCGCCCGGGCGCCCGAGAACGCGCAGGAAGCCCAGGGCAGACTCAAGAAGAACATCGTGCACTTTCAGGACCCGCCGTGCGGGTTTAGGGTTTAGGGTTTAGGGTTTAGGGTTTAGGGTTTAGGGTTTAGGGTTTAGGGTTTAGGGTTTAGGGTTTAGGGTTTAGGGTTTTTTCGACGATCAGGTGCTTATGCGTCGCTTGCATGCAGGGCGTCAAGACCCTAGATCTCCTATGCAGAGCTCTGAGACCTTCGTTGCTGCCCAAAGCCCCAAACCGTTTTAAACCTTCTCCTGCAACAAGCCCAAGAGAGGGTTTAGGAAGTTTAGGGTTCAGAAGGTTTGGCCAAGAGCCTTCTATTTCAGGGTTTAGGGTTTGGGGTTTAGGGTTTAGGGTTTAGGGCTACCAAAGCCGATCTCGGAGGAGGTGGCAGCTTCAAAGGAGTCTCTTTGGTTGCTTTGCTTCGCTTGGGCACCTCTGAACAAACCCTGAAAACAAGCTCTTTCCGCTTTAATGAGCCCTCGAAATCCTAAGCTGCAAGCCCTAAACCCTAAACCCCAAACCCTAAACCCCAAACTCTAAACCCTAAACCCTTACTGGCGGCAAAAAAGAAGACCCCTCAACCCGACAAGCCGTACCCGTATCAACCCTGAACCCTAAGACCCCTAAACCCTCTAAACCCTCTGCACCCTCTAAACACTGCAAACCCTATAAACCCTAAACTGTCCACAATCGAAACTGAACCTTAAACCAATCCACCCAAGAAAGGCCCCAAACCCCATAAACACCCCATAAACCCTGAACAAATCCCATGATCTAAGGTCGGAACCATGGGTCCTTAGAATGGTTTAGGGTTTAGGGTTTAGGGTTTCTTATTGTATCCAAACTCTAAACCCTAAACCCGAGACCCTAAATATACACTGTATAATAAGGGGCCCATACTTCGGATCCCCTAGGCACGCCCCTTGCAAACCCCCAAGCCCCGGCTGGACGGAGCCCATCCCCCCCCTTTTCGCCCAAGCCATTGCCAATCGCATCCTCTTTAGGGTTTAGGGTTTAGGGTTTAGGGTTTAGGGTTTAGGGTTTAGGGTTTAGGGTCATCCCACATTACCACAGAAGGGGCCAAATTCTTGGAGGTGGCGTCCCCAAGTATGTTAGGGTTTAGGGTGGAGGTTTCGGATCTTTGGGGTTGAGGATTTGGGGTGTTGGGGTCTTGTCAATACGCTCAAATGGGTTTAGGGTTTAGGGTTTAGGGTTTAGGGTTTAGGTTAGCAACATGAATGCGCCCAGCTAAGTCAAAGGTAAGGTCAGAGAGACGTGAGCAGGGCGCGATGGCACGGCAGTATACCTCTGCACGCTGAAGTCGCGCGCGCGCGTGCGCAGGCCAACTATCTCGTGATCGTTGCCGTTCTCTTGGGCTTGCTGCTTCTCAGCGACTGGCCCTCTGGGCAGCAGCAGTCCCTGTAGGGGTTTAGGGTTTAGGGTTTAGGGTTTAGGGTTTAGGGTTTGGTGTGCAAATATGACTTGGGGCTTTTTGGGGCTCAGGTTCAGTTCTCGGTAGGCCAGAAAGAGGCCACAAAAGCCCGCGTTCAATGATCCGAGCCTAGACCCGAAGTTCTACCCAAAACAGGGGCACCCTATTTTGGAGCCTACAATAAGGACTTGGGGGGGGGGGGGGTATTTAAGGGACCCTAAACCCGAAACCCGAAACCCCAAACCCGAAACCCCAAACCCCAAACCCCAAACCCCAAACCCCAAACCCCAAACCCTAAGCAGCGTGTCGGCTCCAGGGTGGCTGCCATTGCAGCGCTGCTGGTGGCCGGCGCATGGTTCTTCTCACAGCGCTACAGCGCGGAGGCGAGCTTGGGGGCATGTCGGGTTTAGGGTTTAGGGTTTAGGGCTAGGGTTTAGGGTTTAGGGTTTAGGATTTAGGGTTTAGGGCTTAGGGCTTAGGGGCCCTAGACTTTCTCTTTTGCAGGGGAGAAATGGCTTCCCGGGTGTGAGGCAGAGGAAGATCGAGAAAGAGAGGACGAGCGGTATATTCAGACTGTCTCCCGCGGGCTCTACAGGTTTTCTTCTTTTAAGGGGTTCTTAACTAAGCAAGTAGTAGATAAAGGTTTTATTCTTTTGGTGTTCTATTCTTTTGGGGTTCTTAATTAAGCAATTAGTAGAGAAAGAAAGAAAGAAAGAGTGGGAGAGCGAGAGGGATGCAGAGAGAGTCATGGGGGACAATGCTCCGAGCGAGCAGCGAGACGGAAGAGAGAGAGAGAGAGAGAGTCGTCCGGACGCGCAGGAAGTGTCATTCCGAGGTAGGATAAGGGGGACCTCTTCTGGCTCTCTTAAACAGGGACCGTATTCAGAGGGTCTATATCCCCAAGGGTCCCCCTAATCCTAAACCCTAAGTCTGGGGAGCATGTTTCTCTTTGATCCCTGACACCTCCTTGATCCTGAAAACGCTCCTGAGCCGGCTATGCAACTTAGGGCTTAGGGTTGAGGGTTTAGGGTTTAGGGTTTAGGGTTTAGGTAAAAAAGAGTTTTCCTACTGGTCAGAGAAGCCGGGAATGAGGTACCTGAAAGAATTCCCTTCTGTTGCCGTATTATTATTATTATTATTATCATTATTAAGATTTATATATATATATACATATTATTTTTATCATTATTTTATTATTATTATTATTATTATGATTATTATTATATATATATATATATATATTTTTTTTTTTTTTGGGGGGGGGGGGGGCGGGGGCGGGGGTGGGGTGATAAATATGTAATTATGCAGAAAGAAAAATAAATAAGAATAAGAATAAATAAATTAGGACAAGTATAAATAAATATAAATCTGAATATATATATATATATATATATACTACATGTATATGTTAAGTACCTAGTTCCCTCCCACGGGCAGTCCGAGTCGCGACTCGCAGGTTTAAGGTTGTTCCTCAGATCGTTTACACGGGGAATTAAGGGGGTGTACACTGCAAGTCAGTGCTTAAAGAGGAGGGGGTTTAGGGTTTGGGGTTTGGGGTTAGGGTTTAGGGTTTAGGGTTAAGGGTTAAGGGTTTAGGGTTTAGGGTTTCGGATTATCAGGCAACCGGCAGCAATACAGGAAATAATGCCAATCAAAGAAAAACTATAGTAGCAAGAGTAACAGTCGTGGTCATCGTAATCATAGCAGTGCTAGTAGCCATAGTACTGATCGTACAACCTGACAAAACAGTACCGATCGCACAACTGCTAGCCACAGGAATAGCCGTCGCACCCTAAACCCTAAACCCGAAACCCTAAACCCTAAACCCTGCAAGACTGTGGCTTCTGTTCGCTGCAGGCATCCCCTTCAAAGTTGGCACTGATGGCCGGCGGGTCATTCATGGTCCGCCCCTCTGGTTAGGGCGCCCTAAACCCTAAACCCTAAACCCTAAACCCTAAACCCTAAACCCTAAACCCTACACCCTAAACCCTAAACCCTAAACCCTAAACCCTCAACCCTAAACCCTAACTGCAACCCCTAACTAGGGGTGGGGGGGAAGGGGCGGGGGGAACCCGAACACCCAACCGCACGTGCGCTAGAGGTTTGCGTTGATCAGGAATCCCCGAATGCCCTGCCGCTTGTTTGTGTCAAGGGATGAAGACTCGTACCCCGAAGGTCGTAGCCCTAAAGGTGCCCCGGAATGTGCTCCTCATATGGCCCTTATATTCCCTTAGGGGATCCTCAGAAAGGGTCCCCAAATCCCAAGTCTTCCAAGATACAGCCCTTTGATTGGTAGCATTGCTTACAGGGCTCATGCAAAAAGTCTTGCCCCGAGCACGAGCCCTCCCCTAAACCTCTCTGAACCTCACATGAACCCTGAACCCTAAAACCCCAAATCCCAAACCCCAACCTCAAACCCCAAACCATAAACCCTGAACCCTAAAACCCTAAGCGGGTGGCAAACAAAAACAACCCTAAACCCTAAACCTCCCCTCCCCCCCCAAACTCAACTCCCCAGTTCTTGTACTTGGTCGCGGGCACGGCGCTTCTCAACCTTGCCGCGGTCGCGGCGCTCGTGGTGGTGCCGGCTGGTTCTGCTGGTCGAGGGTCCAGGGCTTAGGGTCTAGGACTTGGGAAAATTAAGTTTAGGGTTTAGGGTTTAAGGTTTAGGGCTTGGGGTTTAGAGATGTAGAATTTGTCGAAAAGAATGCTCTTTGAGGTCCTGCAGGGCTTGTAGGGGTTAAGTTTTTGAGTTTAGGCCATATGGCTCTTCGATTTGACTTAAATAGTTGAGTTCTTCCAGATGCAGTTGCACGTGCCGCCCTTATGGGTGCTGTCGGTTAAAGTGCTGATGATGGCAGATGCCACGATTTCCCAACTTTACAGCCTTGTCACCCGGGTTTTGTCCTTTGTGTCTAGTCTTGGCGTCTAGGTTCTTGTTAGGTATGAAGCTAGGAAGACCCGAAAACAACCCTAAAGGCACTAATAACCCTCAGATCCTGGACTCTAAAGCCCTTCAACCCTGTAAACCCAAAACGCCTCGAAACCCCAGCCCGCAAAACCCTAAACCCTAAACCCTAAACCCTAAACCCTAAAAAGACCCAAGTCCCAACAAGGGCTCTCTTGAGGGGCTGAGGCGTTCGCCTAGGTCCTTGGGGGCTTGCGGCAGAGGACTTCCGGGTTCGGGCGGACGGCACAGGGCTCTAAGGGGTACCTTCGAGTTTCGCTTCGGTTCTGATTAGGGCGTAGGGCACAGGGCTTAGGGGGCTTCAGGGGCCTTCGAGTTTCGCTTCGGTTCCCGTTAGACTCTGGGCACGGACCATGAACCTCCAAAGTCATATATACAGACAGAGAGAGAGAGAGAGAGAGAGAGAGAGAGAGAGAGAGAAGGAGCGCGAGAGAGAGAGAGAGCGAGAGAGAGAGAGAGACCTATTTTCTCATCGACCCGAACTCCCTAGACTCTAAAACCCTAAGACCGTAAGCCCTAAACCCGAAACCCTAAACCCTAAACCCTAAACCCTAAACCCCTAAACCCCTAAACCCCTAAACCCCTAAACCCTAAACCCTGAACCCTCACTTCAATGCGGGGGGGGGGGGGCGTGCCAGGTTGTCGCTCATGCCGTTCTCCATCCGGGCTCCGCGGAGGTCGGCTTTCTGGACTTGGTTGGTCTGGCAATTTGGGGTCCCTAAACCCTAAACCCTAAGCCCTAAACCCTAAACCCTAAGCATTTTCAACTCCGCTCTCTGTGAAGCTACTATTTGCTGGAGACTAAGAAGCCCCCCCCCCCCCAAAAAAGAAAGAAAAAAAAAATGCCGATTCTTCCTTATTAAGGGCCAGGGTAGTATAGGGATGATTCTGCTTGAGATGTTGAGGGGTGTTCTTAGGCAAATAGTAGCTTCACGCAGGGTGCAGGCTCGGGGGCCGATCTTTCTTTGAGACAGAAGGGGCTTGCGGCAGCATAAAAAATATCCCAAGGGTTTAGGGCTTCGATACCCTAAACCCTAAACCCTAGCAGGACCTTAATCCTTCTTTTTTTAGGGCTCATAGTTCCCTTTTCGAAGCCCTTTTGAACCCCAAAAAGGGTGCCCTTTTTCCGTCCCAGGTTCCTCGTAGGTCTGTTTGAGGGTGGCTGAGTCTGGAGAGGTTTGATGGCTCGGGCTTCGAGACTTCTGGGTCATCATGTTGACGAAAGGGGCCCTACATAAGCACCCTGTTTAGGGTTTAGGGTTTAGGGTTTAGAGTTTAGAGTTTAGGGTTACCCTAAACTACTAGCGGTGCTGGCCGCTGGCAGTTGGAAACAACAAGCTACCACAAGACGAAGCCAAGTTGAATGCTCTGTGTCATTATTCTGGTAGCTTGCTTTGCGTTCCTCAGCTTGGCATCGGAAGTCCCCGAACCCCCACATCTTACCCTAAACCCTAAACCCTCAACCCTAAACCCTCAACCCTAAACCCTGAACCCTAAACCCTAAACCCTAAACCCCAAACCCCAAACCCTAAACCCTAAACCCTAAACCCTAAACCCTAAACCCTAAACCCTAAACCCTAAACCCTACCCTCATCCCGAGAGTTGTCTTTGAAGTTTGGGTCCACATCTTCATGGCCGACCCTAAACTCTAAACCCTAAACCCTAAACCCTAAACCCTGACCCCTAAACCCTAAACCCTAAACTCAACATAGGGAAGCTCGGGAGCGGGATACACAGTTGCACGCATCGGTCGACCTTTTCAAGAACATGCGTTTTTAGCTCGCTGCTGCTAGCTGGAGGCACGACCCATTCTGAAACAAGATGCTTTCTTGCTGAGCTGTACACGCGACTTAGACTAGTCTTGAGACAGTGCTCTGCAGTGCGTCGTCAGCTAGGCGGGTTATGTCCCCAAACCCGCCCGAAACCCAAGCCTTTAACGCTCAACCCTGTCAGCTTATACTATGCAGGTTGGCAACTTCGATGCCATCGACCAGGACAGGAATCAGGGCTTGGGGTTCGGGGTTTGGGGTTTGGGGTTGAGGGTTGAGGGTTTAGGGTTTAGCAGGAGGCACGGGTGTGCAGGACTTGTTCGAAGGTTCAGAGGCACTAAGAAGGAGGGCTTAGGGTTTGCGGTTTAGGGGTTAGGGGTGAGCAGGGTTATAAGTAACCAGACATGAACACTCCCCTTTGAGGTTTAGGGTTTGGGGTTTGGGGTTTGGGGTTTCGGGTGCAGGGCTTACTTGGAGGTTCATGGGTACTTACAAGCACGGTTGTGAGTGGGGCACCTATGGCCATCACCTTGGCTTAAGGTTCTAGGAGTTTCGATGAGCTTCCTGGTTTACTTCGTGAACAACTTCAGGGTTTAGGGTTAAAGGGTTGAGGGTTTGATCCGTCGGAAATCGCTCAACTCCACCCTTCGGGTTCTGGATCCACGATGACCCTTTCAACTCCAAGGTGCTTTGCCTTAATGTCCAAACGCCAGCAAGTTTTCATTGTCGCACCCTAGTATCCTGGCCCCAAAAGCCGAAAGCTATAAACCCTAGACCCCCCAATACGAAACCTATAAACCCTAAACCTCAAGCCGAAAACCTCCACCCCCGAACCCCTAAACAACCCAAACCCAGAAGCGTAAACCCTAAACCCCAGAAGCCTAAACCCTAAACTCCGTAAGGCACAGAAAGCGGATCCAGGCCCTCCCCCCTAAACCCTACGCCCCAAACCCTAAACCCTAAACCCTAAACCCTAAACCCTAAACCCTAAACCCTAAACCCTAAACCCTAAACCCTAAACCCTAAACCCTAAACCCTAAACCCTAAACCCTAAACCCTACACCCATCCTACTAGGGTCAACTTCCGGGTGTTTGTGTTTTTTCGCCGCTTGCTCTACTGCTCGTCCTTCAACCCCGACACACCTACCCAGCAAACTGCAAGCGGCCTGGATGCAAAGGGTTTAGGGTTTAGGGTTTAGGGTTTAGGGTTTAGGGTTTAGGGTTTAGGGTTTAGGGTTTAGGGTTTATAGGGTTTATAGGGTTTGTAGGGTTTGTAGGGTTTATAGGGTTTGTAGGGTTTATAATCGGGTTTAGAGGGTTCATAGGGTTTATAGGGTTTAGGGTTTATAGGGTTTAGGGTGGTTCAGGGTTTAGGGTTTAGGGTTGAAGGTTTAGGATTTAGGGTTTAGGGTTTAGGGTTTAGGCAGCAACCTGCAAGAGGCCGGGATGCAAAGGGCCTGTGAGGTTTTGATGTGGGTTTATGTGGTTAGGGCTGAACCTGGTTTAGGAACACTTTGGGGTTCAGGGTTGAGGGTTTATACTGGGTTTAGGGTTTAGGGTTTAGGGTTTAGGGTTCGAGGTTCCCTGAAGCCTGGAACCTTGACCTCTGCCGCCTTCCCGCAGGACGAGCTGTGAAAAAACCTCGGAGGGAGTGAGGGCTGCCGTCCGGACACCTGTGTAGAGGTGAAGCCAGGAGAAGGGCGCACAGCAGCCGAAAAGAAGCGGGGCTTCATGGTTTCGGGGGGGCAACGTGCTTCGGGTTCGTCATTGAATGGCTTCTGTAGCGTCGATGCCTTCCGCGTTCCAGCTGAGCACATGCGCCCTAAACCCTCAACCCGAAGTATTCGAGAGAAGCGACTCAAAGCGGCTTCTGCCTCCAAAGCCCAACATCGCCCTGCCTGTTAGGGCCCAGGGTTTAGAGTTTAGGGTTTATGGGGTCCTTGATGGCCACTGGCTTGTGACAGTACTCCGGCGATGCTGTGAGGCGTAGCATCGGACTTGTCCCCCTACTACCCACTCTTCACGACATTCTCTCGCATCCCGTTGAGGTCCCTCTCAAGGAGGACGACGAGGTGCCGAGTGTCACCCTCTATCGTCAGGCTGGGCTGATGTTCCTAGCTAGGAGAACGGGGACCTTTAAAAGGGGACCCTTCTTGGCCTTCTCCTGGCTCACTTAAGCAGGGACCTTCTTCAGAGGGTCTATATCCCGAATCCTATCCCCTACATGTCAGACTCAGGATCCGTACCAAGGCATAGCTCGAAAGAGCTTCTCCGATTTTTGGAGGCCTACTCGGACCCCTAAAGATGTACCCCTAAGAGGTTCCCTTAATCCCAAGATGTGCGCGGTGTGGTTTAGGGTTTGGGGTTTGGGGTTTAGGGTTTAGGGTTTAGGGTTTAGCAACAGTTTTCGAAACATGTTTGGCGGTTGGTAATTAATTAATTAAAATTTATTAATTAAATAAAAATCAATCAATCCTGGGGCTCCGTGAGCCTGAAGCCCTCAAGGCGGAGCACTGCCTGCAAACGTGAGTGTGCTGTTCACGGAGGGATGCTCCGAACCGTAAAGTGGGTTGAGGGTTTAGGGTTTAGGGCCTTATATAATTAGGGTTTAGGGCTCCATTCTCATGTGCAAAGCCGGCAATACTTAGAGGCCTTCGCGCAGGTGCAACACGCCATCTTGGCCACAGTTAGGCAGTTAGGGCCACCGAAAGCTACTTTTTGAATTCAAGAGGTGTTCGTGCTGCTGGAGCAGTGTTCGAGTGGCTCTCCAGAGTGGCGAACAAAAAAAGGTCTCTCTCTCTCTCTCTTTGGGGGTTCTTCCTTCTCTCACGTTTCCGGCTCTTTCAACCGCGGCGTCTTTGCATCATGTGCAGAAGCATCAGAGCATCAGAGCAGCCGAACATGCCAGAGCATTTCCGTGCCCAAGCATGCCGCGGCGCAGGCAGAGGGAGGCCCGGCAAATCTCGGTACATGCAGCCTTCTGCGGATCAAATGCCGGTCGCGGATGAGATTGAGTCTACTGCAGAGGGAGAGGCAGAGAGAAAGGAGATAAAGGAGGGCAAGCCCGTCGCCGTCACACTTAGGAAATGTGGTGTGGATCGCAGGATCGAGATTCTCTGCGCCCTCCAGAAGCGAAGGCGAGTAGATCTGTCGGTTGATGCTACAGTGGCTTGGTCGCCTGGTGGTACTCCTTTCTGGTTCAAGGTTCCCTATATAAAGTAACCAACCCCAAAAAAGGGTGCCCTTATGAACATCTGCTAGCAAGGTGAAGGACCTGGAGGACTCTGTGACGATGGAGCTGGGACTTGACCTAGACGGACAAATGCGCGTGCTCCAGATGGGGCATGAGAGGTTCTTGGAAAGGGATCTCCCATTGGTGGCGGTGCTTTGGCACTCCAATCAGCTTGTGCTGAGATTTGTTAAGTGCACGGCTTTGCTGGAGGCGACTCAGAATTCTCTTTCGGGCAAGACCATCACGGCAAGCTTGCATCATCGTGACGACGGAGGGATGGAGGTTCATTGCACGCTCCTCAGTGGGAAGGAACACTGCAGACTGCCTGTTGACGCCACATCTACATTGCGGGACTTGCGGAACTCTCTGGCCAAGAAGGACCATGACCCAGAGGGCTTAGGCCTGGACGGTCAGATCCTTTGTCCTACAGGCGCACAGATCTTCGACGAGAGCCTCCGATTGTCAGAGCTTGGCTCGGAGCCGCTTACGCTCCGGTTTCTTGGGCTCGGGGCACGGCCGTGGCGCGAGGGTGCTCGAAAGTTTCTGGCGGCCCTGGCAGTGGAGGCCTTCCACCCCAAGTCGAAGGCCTTCGATGTGGGATGGACGCTGAGGACGGCGCGCCCTGTCACCCGGGAGGAGGTGGAAGACACTGTGGAACCTTTTCTGGGACGCCTGGGGGTCTCCAGCGCCTTGGCCGTCCCGTTCATGCGGTTCTTCTGGCGCCTGGCCGCGCCTATGGAGGAGTGGAACTTGCTGAATTTAGCATTGCTCCAGAATTTTGATCCAGGCATGAAGACCAACAAGTTTGCGTTTAGTGAGCACTGGCTACAGCTGGCCCGACACGCTATTGCTGAAAGAGTGCCGCGAAGGCCTGGTCCTGTCATTCTGCCGAAAAGAAACGAGCATGGCTCGATCATTGGTGTAGAGTTGTTTGTTGTCGATGACAGCTTTCCCGACAGTTTCGACAGGAACCTCGAAAGCTCATTGCGATTGGGTGACCTAAGACCCCGAGCTAGTGCATCAAACCTTATGCGAGTGGCGGCGGCCATTGACTTGGGCTTAAATCCAAGTCTGCCCATTGGAGAGCTGGTACGGGAAGCGGGACAAGACCTACAGCTGGACCCTCCCGCAAGCCCAGAGGATGTTGTGAGGATGGCGCATGTGCTGCTCCGGCTGTCTTGCGAGTTGCCGGCAGTGGAAGTGGAGGGGAGCTTGCACGGGCCCCTGCTCCAGCGCGTGGCAGCGCTGCGCCGGTGGCGCTTGAAGGTCCTGCACTTCTCGGAACGTGAGGGGTTCAGGTCCGATTCCCGTGCAGAGAGGGCCGAAGACCTCAGGCACCATGTCGGAGCCTTAGATGCAGAGCAGCAGGTCTCTGGGCTGCAAGCTGGTCTGATGCTGCTGCATCTTCCAATGAAGCACCTGGGCGACGTCGGCGATGTCTGCCGGAAGCTGAGCCAAATTGCTCCCGTCCGCTTCATCATCTGCGTACAGGAGCTGCGCATGCTAGGTCACCCGCACCTCCTGTCCACACGAGTCTCTCGCTGCTTCAGTCTTTAGACAGTTTCCCCATGTGAGAGATTAGATCTTAAGCTGCAGGCACGTGTCCTCTCAAACAGCGCTGTTCGTGGACAAGGTTTGTACTTGCAATTGTTACTTCTCATCGTTGTCGCTTTTTTGGGCCCAGCAGCCGATCCACGACAGACCTGTTCAAGAGGATTCTATGGGATGAGCCTGACACCGCACACGTGGTGCAATTGCGGCCCTTAGTTAGAGTTCTTCCCCACTAAACCCTAAATCCTAACCCCCTGAGTCCCAGGTGTCTCAATGGCTTGTTTTCTCTAAAAGTTGAATTAAGTCTGTGGTTCTTTTGGGATCTTTTGGCGAGGGACAGGTGGTGTCCAAGGTTTGAAATCTTCGTGCAGCCAAGAAGCACCCTTATAAGTAACCCAGCACAAAGAAGGGTACCCTTATCAACATATGTTTACCGGGCTACGAAGCTTCTGTTGTAGGAACCCCGGTTTAGCATCGATCACTTTAGTGTGGCCAGGAGACGGATGAGGAGAAGAAAGCCACCAGAGAAGGAGAAGACGGATAAGCAGATTGCGTCTGCTTCAACGGCTCGGGTGCTCGGCCTGCAAGAGCTTGTGCTGAAGCACATGGCTTTTTCGGGCATGTGGAATGTCCAAGAGCCTGTAGCTAGGTGAGTTGCAACATTCTTCTTGCTTAGTTGCAACTTGCTTCGGGGCTTCAAAGGGAAGGCGGAAGCCCCCGGAGGGACGGGGGAGGGGGGAGGGAGGGAGGGCCATCTTGTTGGCGTTCTGTCGGGAGCCGCTGTGCACGGACTCTTGGCGCCGAAACGTACGCTGCGCCAGGCCGACAGTTCGACCCACCAGCACCCCGTACTTTAGACTATAGACCCACGACCCGACCCTCTTCTCCCTGGGCCCCTGACACAAGTGAGCCTGGGCGCCTCCTCCAAGATTTTCAGAAAGTACTGTATTTGTCAAACGGTCTAATTGCTCCGCCCGCTGGCGGAGTGAAAACTACACTTTTAAATACTAGGCGTTTCGCTACTCTGCAAGAGTCTTCTTCGTCTGCATGGCAATTAAAGGCCCCGTAGCACTTTCAGCCTGTATACACGTATATATACATACGGGAGAATACACACGTACGTAACCGTACGTACATACATATACGTACGTACGTACATACATACGCGAAAGCTGGCACTCTGTTACTAGCGTTGAAAAGCCCAGCCGTGCACCCTAAATCTTCAACCACGAATACCCTCTGTGAAACTTCCGGATTCCACTCGAACAGGGGCAAGGCCAACCGCAACTTCCACCTCGAACAACCCTCAACCCTCATCACCACTTGACAGCCCGGTAGTATCCTTCTGTTCCCTTTCTTCGGTTCAAGGTTCCCTTAGAAAGTAACCAACCCCCCAAAAGGGTACCCTTATTAGAATATGGTTCTTGGGCTACCAAGACCAAGGATTACGGTTGGGCGCCAGTGGCCCTGCTGAACAGCCAGCCGGCAAGAACAGTTGTTCATTTGCTTCAGGCCAGCACTTGGTTCGTGGGTACTGAGAGCTATATCCCACTTAGAACCCGACTTATCAGTACCCCTAAACCCGAAACCTTAGACCCTAAACCGTGAACGCCCTAAACCTCCAAGCATGGATTGACAGTTCATGTCCCTGTGGCATCAGGTGAAGACTTTGTATAGGCCCTTGGGGGGTATTGTTCCCTTATTGGGTTTAAGAGGCTCATATTTAGGATATTTTTTCCGGGTGGGTAAGGCCATCCTGGTAAGTCATCAGGGGGAGTAGGTTTCTTCTTGTAGATTGTGGGCGGCAGCTCCACTTCTTAGCTGACCTTGGCCAGCTTGTACCTACAAACAAAGAGACGAGAGTGCGCCTGCGTCCTCCTTGCTGACAGGTCCATCGCGGCTTCCTAACCGCCAAACCCCAAACCCCAAACCCCAAACCCTAAACCCTAAACCCTCAACCCTCAACCCTCAATCCTCAACCCTAAACCCTGAACCCTCAACCCTAAGCCCTTTTCTTTGGCGGCTCAGTGGCCTCATCCTGACTCTCTTCCTTCATCGTTGGAAAGACACCACATCAAGCAGAAAGAAACTTGCCGAAGACCTGTGTCAAAAAAAGTCGCAGAACAGAAGTTCAGTGGGAAGATGCCACAAGCCTGCTCGTGCTCCTCGGAAGCCATCTTTTCTTGTCCTCAACCGTGCCCTGCGCTTGCTCCCTCTTGCCGCCTGCGCCGGCACCCCTACAAATGGTTGCCGGCTTTTCTTCCGGCTTCTGCTTTCTTTGCCTTGGCCCTCCCTTTTCCTTTTTGCCTTCCTTTTGCCTTTCCCTTCGCCTTTGGTGCCCTTTTTTTCCTCACCTGCTTTCTCATTTTCTGCATCCTTGGCCGCTCTTCTTTTGATTGTCTGAGTCTTTTCATTCTCAGGTGCAGCCGTCGCCGCGGCCGCCACCGAATCCTGAGCCTGTGGTAGAGGACGCGATTCATTCACTTCACAGAAGGTTTCTCTTTTTCAGGATCAGTCTGTAGGCTCCGCATTGTAGCCGGCGGCCACTTCGATTGGTACGAAACGCACGAAGCTACATAGATAGATAGATAGACATATGTATAAATAAGTAAATCAATAGATACATATATATATATATATATGTAGTCATATACATCTACATATATGTACATAGATGGGAATATGAGTATCCCGGAGCTTCGCAGAGTTACCTTCCAAAGACTACTGGCTGAGACCCACATGCCGCGCGTGCAGAAAAGGTCCGCTTCATTGGGACGCCGGAGCCTCAACAAACACAGGAGCCATATCCTTGGTAGGATAAGGGGGACCCTTAAAAGGGAACCCCTTCTGAACCCTCTTCTGGCTCTCTTAAAAAGGGACCTTATTCAGAGGGTCTATATCCCCCAGGGTCCCCCTAATCCTATCCCCTACCATAAAGGAATCCACTACCGTCAAGCAGAGCATACTGTTACTACAAAGGCCGAAGGTTTGCGCAAGTGCAAGGCCCCGACTGTTCAGCTTTTTGAAGACCCAGCCAGCACTTGAAGGTTCAGGAGCACGGTAGGGTTTAGGGTTCAGGGTTCAGGGTTCACGGTTTGGGGTTTAGGTTTGGGGTTTAGGGATACTTATAATCAGGGTTATACGTTTCCGAAGTAAGGTAATAGCCATAGTTGCCCCACTTGTCGCCGTCCTTATAAGCACCCAAGCTACGCACATCCAGCTGGTTTACAATGCTTAAATGCTTAAACCTAGTCAGAGGCGTAGCATGCTCATGTTCTATGCACTGGGTACCCACGTAGCACATGTGTTGTCGAGTACCTGCCTTGGATGAAACCGGTGATTTGCCAGTAATTTGCCGTACAATTGAGGCTCTGACACTCAAGAAAAAGATCCACCAACCGGAATCGTCTGGTCGATCGACATGGACAGAGGGCATTGGCTTTCATACATAAACAAAGCCCTGCAGAGTATACTTGTTACTTCCACATCCAGTCTGAGACACACCGATAGTAAGCTGCCCAGGGTCACCTCAGACTTGGAACTGTATGAGGAGAAAAACATAATAGGATCTGCGGCAAGTGAACGCTCAGGACATATTGATTCCGCATTTCTGTGCCACCCTGGTAGGCCCCAAAAGCCCCCAGAAGAACTGTTGGCAGTGTTCTTTGCTAGCGCCATGGCAGACTTGGCTTCACGAGATGAAGGGCGCGGCATAGGGTTTAGGGTTTAGGGTTTAGGGTTTAGGGTTTCGGGTTTAGGGTTTAGGGTTCAGGGTTTAGGGTGTAGGGTTTAGAGTTTAGGGTTCGGCAAGAAAGTGTTCTGCCATGGTGCAGAAGTCGACATCCTATCGGGAGGGTGAGAGATGCCACTACCTGCACTCCACAACTGGCCGGTGGCCTGTGATGACCCCCCCACCTGCAAGAGCACAGGCTGGCAGATTTTAGACTTGTGATGCTTGCATGGCGACGCGTTTCCATGAGCCAGGGCAATCACCCTAAGGATTCCATGTACCTGTATTTAGTAGCTACTTGGGGCCCTAAAGCTACTATACAGGCACCCCCTTGAACCCCCAAGTGTATACTATATGAGACTATATGGGCACATGGATCCTTAGGGTCATGGTATTCGCGGTAGTCATATGTAACGAACAAGCCGCAGAGCCCACCCTGAAACCCTGGATTCCTAGATCCACAAGTACGATGGTAGTCCGCAGGTTTACAGGGCATCGAAAGGGCTTAGGGCTCAGGGTTCGTACAAAGCCTCTCACTTATAAGCAATTAGTACCGGAAACGGGCTTGGGGGGGGGGGGGGGGGGCGTGGGGGGGAAGCGATGCAGGGCTAGCACAGCTTGTTATAATCTCAAATCCACTGACAGCCAACGTGGTTGGGTTTGGGGTTTAGGGCTCGCGGAGTTTCGGCTCCTCCCAGCGACAGCTCCCAGCGTATGCAGCAAACAATCTTCAAGCGGATCCTCAAGTGCATGGAACTTCCTAGTAGTAGAGTAGGTAACCTTTAACCTGTCTGGGGGAATAGAATCCCCTTCTAATCCCAAAGGTTAACCTTTAGTTGCCCCAGGTTACTGGACAACTAAGACTTGGGAACTTCAAGCCTTCAAGTAGCCTTGCGTGCTTGGACCCACCCAAAGCAAGCTTGGAGCATTCCTTTCGTGTGGTTGATTCAACGCAGGGTCTTGGCGTGAGGGTCGATTGTCTAGATGCTAAATCCAGAGAATTACAAGCTATAGACTATACCTATAAATAAATCAATAAATATTAAAATGGAGAAATAGATAAATAAATAAATAAAAATATATATATATATATATACACATAGAGAGATAGATAGCATATCACCTCAGAACATCATCTCGCAAGGCAAGGTCAGCACATGAGCAATCGCCGTCGAGATGCGCAGCGCAGGCTTCTCTTTCAATGAGGAACCCGGAGTCGGCCCTTACTCCCGTCTTGTAGGGTTTAGGTTCCCTTAGAAACCCTTTAACGCCCTGTTTACCAGAGGCGGGCCTGCTTAAGTCTGCACGCTTCTGTGCCGCATTGTGCTTGTCTCCATTGCGGTTTTGGGCTTTTTAGGGTGTAGGGTATAGGGTTTAGGGCTACTGCAAAAGGCGACCTGTAGTCCGAATACTGGCCAGTGACTACTCGCTTGGCCTTTGCACGTGTGCACTTCGCTTGCTCCTGGCCAGTTCACCCTAAACCCTAAACCCGAAACCCGAACCCTAAACCCTAAAACCCGGGCAGGCTGAAGCGTCCGACCCTGCGAACTGCAGCAAAAGCAGAGGCTTGGAGTTTATTGTGGAGAGGGGGGTTGGGGTGAAGGGATGGATTCCATGTACAGTGTACCTGGAGCTTCGGGGGTACTTGCAAGTAGGGTTGGGGGTTCAGGGTTTAGGGTTTAGTAGAAAGTGTCCCTTTGAGGGTAAAGGGTTTAGGGTGAGGGAAACTGTAGCTTAGGCTTTAAAAAAAGGGTTTAGGGTTTAAGGTGTAGGGTTTGGGAGTATCGCCCTTTTTGTTAGGGGGGGAGGTGTGTGTAGGGTTCTAGAACCGGGGGTAGAGTCGGGGGAGGGGGGGGGGTAATTGCCCCTGGTTGGGGAAACGCCCACGTCGAGACCCTCAATGCAATCTAAAGGAATATGATCGAGGTTTTTTCATTTATGGTTATGTTGGGATCTGGGTACCTCCTCCAAGAAGCAATAGGGGCCCTTCTCACATGTCCTTTTGCGGATTCCACGTTCTATTAGGTTGCGGCAACCCTAAACTCTAAACCCTCAACCCATAATCCCTTCCGATTCCATGTTTTGCAACTGTCGGCTGGAGATTGCTTATCTTGACGTAACTTCGTACATATACACCATGTATGCCGCTGCCATGGACCTGGCAGTGGCACCAGAGTGCATTCTTCAAGAGGCCAGCTTGTCCCAGCTGCAGACGCTGTGCTTCTTGACTTCATCCACGTTTGCACTTCTCTCCGCCCTGTTCCAGTACATGCGGGAGTGGTATGGTCATGGAGAGGCCAACAATGGGTGGACAGCCCCAAGCAAAGTAGCCTCTCTCCGCAGGGCCTTTGCTTCAGACTGGGGTTTACACAGTGACGGACAGCTCATTGAGCACCCAGACAAACCCAAGCCCGTGAGCGTTACAGACCACAGAGGTCTGTCACCTGGGCGGGCTAGGTGGCCTGACCGTGACGCCCCCACCGCGCAGCAGACACAGCTACATGAGCCGCAGGTGTACGCCGGCCGGTCGGGCCGGCTTGAGGCAGAGAGCAAGGAAGGAAATGAAACCGCACTGGAAGACAATGAGCCCGGTTTCACAACGCCACAGGTTCCCTGCAAGCCGCAGGTGCTGCCTTTCCAAAAGGGATGGGACCTCGGAAAGCCTGCAAAGCGGCCTTCGCCGGACCGGCCGCACAGCCTGCCGCGCCAGAAGCGGCGTCCAGAGCAGGCGCCAGACGCTCCGCCCATGTTGCCATTCCAGAAGCCCGATGTCGAGAGTCTTGGAAATCTTGGCGATCTTGGCTCTGACATGCCAAAAGTACACTGGTTCCAGGAGCATCCCCTGCCTGGTCAGCACGCAGGCACCGCACCGGAACCTAGTGAATGGCCGCTGCCGTTCCGTGACAAGTACTTGCCGGAGAGCCTGAAAGCCCAAGACCAAGCTCAACTCGCCGCAGCCAACGATGCGCCACTTCCCCTAAACCAGTCTCCTGACTCCCTAGTGGGTGACCCCACGAGCTTTCGTAGCCCAGTGGTATTCATCCTTTTTTTGGTTCAACCCCCCAACTAAGGGTGCGCCCCTTATTGTAACATGGTTACTGGGCTACTGAGGAGCCGAAATGAGGATGCTCCGAATCCGCAGCCGGCGCTCGGCTCCCCGGATGCCCTTGCGGGCTTCCTGCCGGTGCCGGCACCCATGCCTCCTTCGTGCCCGCCTCCCGTGCCTATATCCTTCTTTGGAATTATTACTATTATTCTTATTATTATTATCATTATTATTATTATATTATTCTTCTTCTTTTTTGGTTTATGTAAAGCCCAAGATGGCATTAAAGATGTTGTTTTTATTAAGGTTCTAAGGGGAGAGTCTAGAGTCTAGGTGCCTCCGCCACCTCCAGTGCCTCCGCTACCTCCGGTGCCTCCGCCACCTGCAAAGCATGTCGCAACCATGGAGGGTGACAACATCCGGCCGCGCCTGATGCGGCACTTGAGGGATAGCCTGAGGGAAAGCAGCGTCCCGTCAGAGTTGAGCCAAAGCAACCCCCTGACAATCCCGAGCATCGGGAGCTTTGGGCATCCGGACATGTGCTTTCGGCCGTGCGTGTACCTTGAGAAGGGATACTTGGTAGCCCAGTGGTACCCTTTACCCTTTTTTTGGTTATGGTTTCCCTTGTAAAATCACCAACCCAAAAAAGGGTGCCCTTATTATGATATGGTTGCTGGGCTGCCAAGGATACTGCGCGCGCGGCGCTTTCTGCACGCACTGCCACTTCGGTCATGAGAAGACATACTCGCTCAGCAAGAATCAAAAGAGGTTCGTTGAGACTCAATTGGACGAAGTCTCCGTGCTGGCAGGGCTTCTGCCCCGCATCCAGGCGAAGGCCATCGAGCGCGGCCTGCAGCAGGAGGTCAGCAACTTGTGCGCCTTAATCCGGCACCGGGTGGATACCCTCAGCAAGCGCCGGAAGGTGCGAGAAGTTCCTGTTTAGGGTTTAGGGTTCAGGGTTTAGGGTTTAGGGTTTAGGGTTGTAGGGTTGTAGGGTTGTAGGGTTGTAGGGTTGTAGGGTTGTAGGGTTGTAGGGTTGTAGGGTTGTAGGGTTGTAGGGTTGTAGGGTTGTAGGGTTGTAGGGTTGTAGGGTTGTAGGGTTTAGGGTTTAGGGGTTTAGAGCAAGCGCCGCAAGGTGCGGGAAGTTCCTACAGAGCTGGGTGGCGCGATGCAGCGGCTATCATTGCACACACTTACCGGCATCCTCGTTCGAAGGACGGACTTCGAGCGCGAGTTCATGGAGGAGCTGACCGTCGCTGGGGTTTAGGGTTTAGGGTTTAGGGTTTAAGGTTTAGGGTTTAGGGAGGCCCTTGCGGAATTTTTATACTTTCCCTTATTGGGGATACTGGGACCCTAATTTACTTCAGGGGTTATACCGACAAAATAGGGGGTTACTTGCTACGAATCTGTAGGCAACTAGAGTTGCAGGCAAGAGGATCATATTCAGGAATATGGGGGTTTACGAAGGTATATGGGCCCCGAGGACAGACCCCCAAATAGCAGGATTTCTTTTTGCTAAGAAGGACCCCAATATGGTACCCCAATATTTGAGGCGCCCTAAACCCTAAACCCTAACAAAAAAGAGACCTAAACCCTAAACCCCCCTCTTTATATATTTGCCTTATACTTAGAATTGCTAGAATCATTAACCCTAAGCCCTAAGCCCTAAACCATAAACCCTAAACCCTATAAACCCTCAACCCTATAAACCCTAAACCCTAAACTCTAAACCCTAAACCCTAAACCCTAAACCCGAAAGCGTTTCAAGGGCCAACCTGAGGTTGCCGTGGCGCAGTTCCGTGCGGCGATACCGACCTCCCTGCGATCGATCCGCGAGGGCGGCGCGGAGAAGATGCCTGTGGAGCCTTGCTTAGGGTTTAGGCTTCAGGGTTTACGGTTAAGGTTTGGGGTTTATGGGGTTTAGGTTTAGGGTTTAGGGTTTAGGGGGTGGCCTGTGGAGACTTGCCGCAGGGGCAAGAGCAAGAGCTTTTTACGCTTTTTGGCGGGGTTTCGGGTGAGGGTTTAGGACTGGTTTAGGGTTTACAGGGTTCCTTTTTTGGTAGGAATAGCAGCTGGTTCTTAGTAGGGAATGAGGGAATGAGTACCCTAGGTAATGCCTTAAAGGGTATATGTTGGGCCTTAATTTCATTGGGGTTCCTTCTTCTTTGTAGGAATCACTCTAAACCCTAAAGCCTAAACCCTAAACCTAAACACTAAACCCTAAACCCGTTCTTTTGCTGGTTAGGGAAGAAGTAAGGACACTTTGCCGGCATTTCAGTGAACTTGGCGCTGCTTCACACCGCAGCTGTACAGCAAGGCTTCAGAGAGTCGAAGTCTAAGTGCCCATTTCGAGAACTAAACCCTAAACCCCAAACCCCAAACCCTCAACCCTGAACCCTAAACCCTAAACCCTGAGCCCTGAGCCCTCAGCCCTGAGCCCTAAGCCCTAAGCCCTAAGCCCTAAACCCTAACCCTGAACCCGAAACCCTAAACCCGAAAGCCTTTTTGGGAAGTACTCCCTATAGGCTTTGCTTTTGTACGTACGAGAAAAGGACCCACAAGGGGGATCCTATTTTCCAACGGCCTCGCCGTCTGTTTCACTGTAATTCAGCATTCCGCAGTAGCGGCGGCTGGAAACGTTTATCAAGCGCAAGCTAGCACAGGAGCGCCAACAACAGAAACAAGTCGGTATCCGATTGCGCGTTCATCCGAATGGTGTTGAACCTGGCAAAGTCTCCGGGGCTGGTTTTGTAACCTCTAACCTTTAACCTTTTTGGATATATATATATATATATATAAACTCCTACTAAAAAAGAGAGTTAACCTTTTTGGGGCTAGGGTATTCAGCCCTAAGAAGCGGCGCTGGGCATTGCGCCGCATTCCATTCACTGGTAGATGTGCTGCACCGCGTGGATAAGCTTGGCACCGGGCCCCTTCTACAGTAATTCTACGACTTGCTGAAAGAACCCCAAAAGAAAAGAACCTCCCATATTGCCCTTAAGTAGAAGGAAGAGCATTTTTTTATTTTGTTGGGGTCTTCTTGAGCAATGCGTAGCATTTAGGGTCCCTTTCATGGGATACTTTACACCAGGATTCCTCGAACCATGGATCTCCCAAAGAGGGCAGCCCCCAAAATCGCCCAAGCCCGTGTTCCGAGGGCTAGAGCATTCCCGGGCGGAGAGGGAGCTGAGGGCTAAGCTTAGTATGGTTCTTAGTAGGGAATGAGGGAATGAGGGCCCTACGTAATCCCTTAACTTACGGTGCTTCAGGGAGAGTGGAAGAGTGAATATAGGGACTCTTATAAAGGGATTATATAGGGACTACTATAGGGTTTCACTCTTCCACTCTCCCTTAAGCACCAGTAAGTTAAAGGGTATATATTTTTCGGGCCCTCATTCCCTCATTCCCTACCAAGAACCAAGGGCCAAGGCTCCGCCAGGGAAGTCTCGCCGGTTTCTGCGCAGCTTTTTCGGGGTTTGCTCGCTCCTATGCCCTAAACCCTAAACCCTAAACCCTAAACCCTAAACCCTAAACCCTAAACCCTAAACCCTAAACCCTAGAACCCTAAACCCTAAAGGCTAAGGAAGCCAACCTAAAGGCTGAGGCTACATTGCTACTCGTAGGCTTATAAACTTAGTTGCTGAGTGAGTACACTTTACACTTTGTGGGATACTAGAATCCCCTATAGAACTGAAAGTGTGTACTTTTTGAGGGGCTTATGAACTCAGCAACTCATCAAAGTAGGGTAGCTGTAGTTCACCCTCTACGTTGGGTACATATTGCCCTACTTACCTGAACAAGAATGTTTGCAGGTTTCTTTCCTCCTACCCCCCCCCCCCCCCCCCCTCTGGAGCACATAGGCAGGAACTTCATCGCATCTTAGGCAGGAACTTCATCGCATCTTCTCTTCGGATCCCTAAATAGACCCTACAACCCGCAGCCCCAAAATCCCTGAAGAGGCCCGAAACCCTAGGCCAGCCATCGAATAAGCCCTATAGACCATACACCGGAAACCTTATAGTATTTCTATGGAGCCGTGCTGTCGGGTCCGTTAAGAAGGCGGGAGGGTTTAGGATTCTGAGTATCCGCGCTGATTTCATGTTTATTTTGTGTACATGCCCTAAACCCCAAACCCTAAACCCTAAGCCCTAAGCCTATTTCGCCACTGGGCCTGCATGGGTGAAGCCCGGACCCTGAGTCCAACCACCTTGCGTCTCTCCGCAGCCGGGCTCGATCTGAGGGATTCTTGTCGCACTGCGCGATGCTCGCGGGCCTTCTCGTCACTGTCTTTTGCGGCAGCAGTGTTCACTTGAGCATGTCGAAGCCAGCCATCGTGGAGGACCCTAAGCAGGTGCCATCAAGTTCTAGATCAAGCCTCGAGTTTACATCTGAAGAGGTGGCGCGGCACAACAGTCAGACTGATCTCTGGGGTGTCGTCGACGGCTACGTCCTTGACCTGACTGGCTTTGTAAACGACCACCCGGGTGGTCTAGACAAGATCATGCAGATTCCTCGCGAGAGGAGCACCCTAAACCCTAAAGCCTAAAACCCTAAAGCCGAAACCCTACACCCGAAACCCTAAACCCTAAAGAGGAGCTTCTCCTTCGCTCGGGGGCCCAATGCTCACTTTGGGGCCACCGCCTCGGCTTTTGCCGAAGCATGCGTGGAGTTTGAAAGCAAAGGGCGGCCAGAAGGTTTCGAGTACACGTTCCTCGGAAGTGCCCAATGAGGCCTTAACATCTTGGGGGATCCTAGGTGTCCCTCATACTACCATAATCCCTGTCATGGGTATATGGACCATGCCACAAGACCCTAAACCCTAAACCCTAAACCCTAAACCCTAAACCCTAAACCCCTTTCCAAAAGGATCGCGTCGGCACCACCAAGGTTCGAGAACTCCCGCAAGAACGGTGGTTTGGACAACGCTGGCAGCACGACGGGCCGAGCATCTGGGCCTGTTGCTTGGTCGCCCAGTGGCACCCTTTTTCACCTTTTTTTGGTTTAGGGTTTAGGGTTTAGGGCTTAGGGTGCCCTGATTCCAGTCTGGTTACCGGGCACCAAGGTTGGCTCCATCAAGTTCCTGGGCAAGATCGTCACATCCTGAAGCTCGGGTTTTGGGTTTTGGGTTTTGGGTTTAGGGTTTAGGGTTTAGGGTTTAGGGTTTAGGGTTTAGGGTTTAGGGTAACCTGCAACCCTTTCTTTGGATGTGGAGCATCCTACCAAAAAAAATGGTTATGACCTTTTTGAGCTAGGGTGTTCAGCCTCAGATGAAGACACCGCAGTTTCGAGACACCAGGGTGCCAGTTTCAGGGGTTGAGGGTCGTTGGTGCTAAGATCTTTTGTCGATGAATTGAGCCCAAAAGGCAAGACCAAACGTGGGACTTCTTGCATGGGCATGCCCTAAGCCCTAAACCCTAAGAGTGCTTGCAGAAGCAGCCCTAAACCCTAGACCTTCAACCCTAAACCCTAAACCCTAAACCCTAAACCCTAAACCCTAAACCCTAAACCCTAAACCCTAAACCCTAAACCCTAAACCCTAAACCCTAAACCCTAAACCCTAAACCCTAAACCCTAAACCCTAAACCCTAAACCCTAAACCCTAAACCCTAAACCCTAAACCCTAAACCCTATCCATCTCAACGATAGTAGGGGTTTTGGTCTTGCTTGCTGGAGCCGTGCGCGTGTGAGAGGGTCAACTCGAGGGCCCGAGAACGCCTTGAGGGGTATCGTTGTCTTTTCCGGGGGGGGGGGGGGGGGGGGGGGGGGGGGAAGGGGCTTAGAGTTTTGTAGGGTTTGGGGTTTAGGGTTGTACAGTGGCAAGTAAGTATTAGTAGTAGTAGTAGTAAGTAGTAGTAGTAGTAGTAGTAGTAGTAGTAGTAGTAGTAGTAGTAGTAGTGTAGTAGTAGTAGTATAGTAGTATAGTGTTTAGTAGTAGTAGTAGTAGTAGTAGTAGTAGTAGTAGTAGTCGTAGTCGTATAAGTAGTAGTAGTGGTAGTGGTGGTGTGTGGTAGTTAGTAGTGGTAGTAGTGTAGTAGTGGTAGTAGTGGTAGTAGTAGTAGTGGTAGTGTAGTGGTAGTAGTAGTAGTAGTAGTGGTAGTAGTAGTAGTAGTAGTAGTAGTAGTAGTAGTAGTAGTAGTAGTAGTAGTAGTAGTAGTAGTAGTAGTAGTAGTGTAGTAGTAGTTAGTAGTAGTAGTAGTAGTAGTAGTAGTAGTAGTAGTAGTAGTAGTAGTAGTAGTAGTAGTAGTAGTAGTAGTAGTAGTAGTAGTAGTAGTAGTAGTAGTAGTAGTAGTAGTAGTAGTAGTAGTAGTAGTAGTAGTAGTAGTAGTAGTAGTAGTAGTAGTAGTAGTAGTAGTAGTAGTAGTAGTAGTAGTAGTAGTAGTAGTAGTAGTAGTAGTAGTAGTAGTAGTAGTAGTAGTAGTAGTAGTTTCAGTAGTAGAAGTAGTAGTAGTAGTAGTAGTCGTCGTCGTCGTCGTAGTAGTAGCAGTAGTAGGAGTAGTAGGAGTAGTAGGAGTAGTAGGAGTAGTAGGAGTAGTAGGAGTAGTAGGAGTGGTAGGACTAGCAGTAGCAGTAGCAGCAGTAGCAGTAGCAGTGGATGCATTGGCTCACCGCAGAGCATTCTTTTCATGACCAGTGTGTCCATAGACCACACGTCGAGGGTTCCCCCTGGACCTTTCACCATTCCCGAAACAGCAGAATCGCAACTGCTGGGTACTCGAACCAAAGGAACTCTGCGCCGCTGCTTATTGTACACCCTAAATCCGAAAACGGAATCCTAAACCCTAAAGTCGCTGAATTCCCCAATTCCGGGAGGGAGGCCCAGGAGACCGAAACCAATAAGCCAAGCGGTTTAGGGTTTAGTATTTAGTATTTAGGGTTTAAGGTTTAGGGTTTACGGGGCTTTGCATTTTGGGCTACCCTAAAACCTGGGCGTTAGGGGGCTTACCAGTGCCGGCACCTCAGAGAGCCCGGGGTTCAAAAAAAAGAGGGGGGTTGCAGAATGCGCCATCCCTAAACCCTAAACCCTAAACCCTAAACCCTAAACCCTAAACCCTAAACCCTAAACCCTAAACCCTAAACCCTAAACCCTAAACCCTAAACCCTAAACCCTAAACCCTAAACCCTAAACCCTAAACCCAGCACAGTCTTTCCAGGCTCCCAGGGCCCGGCCTCATCCTGCGCCGAGCGTTTTAGGTTTGAGGCTCCGGGTTGGTACCTGTAACTCCATTTTGCCCCTAAACCCTAAACCCTAAACCCTAAACCCTAAACCCTAAACCCTAAACCCTAAACCCTAAACCCTAAACCCTAAACCCTAAACCCTAAACCCTAAACCTTTGCCTACAGATTCGTAGTAAGTACCCCTATTTAGTAGGACAACCCTTAAGGCTGGAGGCAAATCGGGTCCCAGGTAGTGTTTGGGATCAGTAGGGTGTACACCAGGCTTTATCGACGGCGTGGAGGTTTGGAATCCAAACTTGCAGTAGGGTTCGACATTTCGCGTGTGCAGACTCGCGGTTTTCCACGCATTGAAGCATTCTTGTTCACAAGGCTTAGCAAGGTTATCGAGGGGTATGGGGGCTTTTGGACGACTTGCGAGTTGTTGACGGGGTTCGGCAACTTCAAGCGGATTCAATCTCCGGTCTTTCGTTTTCGATGTGGTAGCTCATCAAAGTACCTGTTCCCAAAATGGCCCCGTATATATATATATATATACATTTTTCCTTCTAAGCCCGCAGAAAACCCTAAATACTTAAACAGCAGGGCGTTTGGATAAACTCCCCCCCCCTCCTCCCCATGTCGAGTTTGCCCCTTAGGCCCCATGCAGTATAAAGGTGAACACTGTGCGCCTTTGCGCACTATCGCACTGGCTGAAAGCTGTGTGGCTCAGGAAAGCAAGCCTAGCATCCGGATCCTCCAGCGCAGTTTTCACAGAGAAGTATACCCTGAACCGTAGTGTATAGGCCCTGTGTAACTTTGAGAAGAATTTGGCTAATCACCGCATGATGGGAAGTGGAAGTAGCAAGCGCGGAGGTGGACCAGCTGCTGCGCGCGCTGCCACGCACCGCTTCGAGTTCGACCTTAATGGGCACCACTACTCCTTCGATACCGTGCAGAGCGACATAGAGATCGAAACCTATCCTCCTTACCAGATCTTCGAGTTGACGTCGAAAGCGACGGTCCCCCTGAAAGAGGAGGATGAAGTCCTGAACTTCACCATCTACAACCTAGGCAGGCACAAGAGAGAGAGAGAGAGAGAGATAGAGAGAGAAAAAAAAAAAAAAAAAAAAAACAACAACAACAACAACAACACAAAAGAGAGAGATAGAGAGAGCTCACGGGAGCTGCCCCTGCGGCTAAGCACACGTGAGCCTCCGTAACGATAGTTGCCCTACACTGTCGAAGGAGGGCTCTAAGAATCCTACTTCGAAGTACCCATGAGTTGCCCTACTCAGTCTAAGTAGGGCTCCATGAGCCCTACTTCTAAGTAGGGCTCCAAGAACCCTACTTCTAAGTAGGGTTCCAAGAACCCTACTTCTAAGTAGGGTTCTAAGAACCCTACTTCTAAGTAGGGTTCCAAGAACCCTACTTCTAAGCTCCCCATGAACCTCTCAGACTCTGAGTGCCTCCGAACAGGCATGCCGAGCGACCCCAAAGTGACCCCGCGTCTCATAGCCAAGGACCTGGGCCTCGGGGTTTGCAGGGCTTAGGGCTTAGGGTTTAGTAAGGTTTAGGGTTTAGTAAGGTTTAGGGTTTAGGGTTTAGGGTTTAGGGTTTAGGGTTTAGGGTGGGCTAGCACTGCATTTTTGGGCGACATCGGGGTGGCCACGAGTGCTTCCTCGCTGGCAGGTACCGGCATGGCTCTCAGACCAGGCTCAAAAGGGTGGCTCTGAGCAACAGCCAGACACCCGCAACATCATTTACAAGGCATCGTCGCGTATAGTTTTGAGGGGTAATTGGGCTCTATTGCCTGCACGTTTCCAGGACTTCCTTCGAAAGCTGACGACGCCTTACAAGGGGAGCAGCAACGCGGATGGCGAAGTTCATGAGGCGACGATGGCCTATCAGAGGGCTTGTCAGGCATACACTAAGCCCCAAATCCTCAACCCCCTTACGGTGGGTGGAGAGGGTGGTGTGTTTGAAAATGAATTTATATTCGGTCGATTAGAGTTCGTACCTGCATCGCCAAGTTGAATCTGATGAGTCTGAACGGGCAGAGACCGGACAATCTATCTATCTATCTCTCTCTCTCTCTCCCTCTATAGTATGTATGTATGTATGTATGTATGTATGTATGTATGTATGTATGTATGTATGTATGTATGTGCATGTGTGTGTGTGCGTGCAAGCAGTCGCGGCGAGTCCGGGTGTCTCCAGCCTACGTAACTGTGTGATGATAGCCTTATTTTGGCGTACTTCTAAGATTCTAACCCTACTTCTTAGGGACCCCATATGAACCTTCAAGTAGAAGCTGGGCAGGAGTGGGCGGAGTGGGAGAAGACTGGACGAACCAGCATTTGCATCACAGCCTTCGACATCAACGCGCGCGAGGTGCCGGGCAGCGGCTACGACCGCGAGGATGACGGGCTTCCAGGCAAGAAATGACAGCTACTGTAGGGGTCGGAGTAATTACTAATAGTATTCATTTAGGGTCCCTTTATACGATACTTATACCATATCTTTCCCCCAAAACCTATTCTAATTATTCACCTATGTTAGAGGTGTAGCGGTAGGCCTGATTGGGGTAGTGACTCGCAACCCGGTGCAACGCTTCTTTGCGAGGGCTTGTTTCACGCTGCGTCTCAGCGTCTCTGCAAGCTGCATCTTGTACAGTTTAGCAGCGGCAGCGTCTTCTGCAAAAAAAAACCCTAAACCTGAAACCCGAAACCCGGTCTCGGGGCTGAGACACTTTCCAGAGACCCTCCAGGCCATCATGCAGAATGTTCCCCCTTATACTACAGTCCTTCATGGGGAATTATAATCGGGGCTACTTTCATCCCCTATGAAGAACTGCTAGTATACAAGGGAACAATGTCAAGGTATCACTTGTATAACCCACCAAAGACTTCGTCAAAGGAAGCCTTTAGGAGGCCGAAACGCAGTGGAGGAGGCCGAGAAACCGCCCACAACCGTTGTAACATAAAGGGGTTTTGCGGCCTAGAGTCTAGGGGGCTGGGGATTGGGGGTTGCCCTAAACCCTAAACCCTAAACCCTAAACCCCTAAACCCTAAACCCCTAAACCCCTAAACCCTAAACCCTCGGCTTGAGGGGTTTGGGTTTAAGGGGCTGTAGAATTTGCCATTCAGTTCGACGGGCTGCGGTGCCAAAATGTTACATCAAGCAGAGGGTTAGGGAATCCCTTGAAGGCTAGCATAGGGGAGAGAGTGAGATATAATCATAATATATATATAATAATAATAATAATATGATTACTAATAATAATTACTATTATTATTATAGTTGTTATTGTTGTTGTTACTGTCATTATTACTAGTATTACCATTACTATTATCATGATCATCATCATTATTATGATCATATAGGCATGTGTAAAGCACCCTTTGGGGCAGCTCCCCTTCGGGGGGCCAAGCGTGCATAGAGAGAGAGAGAGAGAGAGAGAGCGAGAGAGAGAGACATGTATATACATATACATGTGTATACATGGGCTTCATTCTTTGTTATGGTTTCGGGTTGCGGGCTTATGGAATACTTCAGTCATATCAAACGCACGCAAATCTGGACACACAATCACTTGCAAGCTTCTGAAGGCCCTAGACTTTGGGATGGTCACCCCTTATACTACCAGGCCTTAAAGGGGATTTATAGTCCCCCCGGCTAGAATCCCAATGAAGGACTGTTAGTCTAAGGGGGAACATCCGAAGTCTAGGGTTGTTCGCATTTTGGGATCACGGCAAGGTCATAGAAGGGTATCGACCCTTATTGCTGTTTTTAGGGTGTAGGATGGTTCTGGTTCCCTTCACAAGCCCCTTTAAACCCAAAAAAGGGTGCCCTTCTTATTCCTAGGTTACTCTTTAGGTGTAGCTTGTCATTTCTGTAGAGGGTTCGGCAAAGTTCCCATAAACACCCGAAATGACTTCCTACAAGGGCTTTTTAGATCATCCCCCCCCCCCCCCCCCCCCTCCTCCCAGGCTTGTTTCGGACGCAGGGTTCAGGGGTTAGGATTTAGGGTTTAGGGTTTTGGCTTTCGGGTCTAGGGTTTATAGCCTGCAACAGGAGCCCTCCAGCACGACCCTGTCACCTCACTTGGGTTCGGTCGTAGCTGTCTTGGCAACTTGTGCTCCCAGATCTTCATCACCTTCACAGTGGAATAGGCCCCAAAACGTCAGCATAAACCCTGTGCGGTTAAAGGGCCCTAAACCTTAAACCCTAAACCCCAAACCCCAAACCCCAAACCCCAAACCCTAAACCCTAGACCCTAAACCCTAAACCCTAATCCCTAAACCCTAAACCCTAAACCCTAAACCCTAAACCCTAAACCTCAACTGAGTTGTGTACACTTTGCTCCTTTTCGCAGAGCCAGCCGAAGTTGTGTGGCTCAGGAAAGCATGCCAAGCATCCATAGGCCCGGTAGGGTTTAGGGTTTAGGGTTTAGGGTTTAGGGTTTAGGGTTTAGGGTTTAGGGTTTAGGGTTTAGGGTTTAGGGTATAGGGTATAGCGTTTAGGGGTTAGGGTTTGAAGAGCCTGGCTAATCACACACAATGGGAAGTGGAAGTAGCAGGGGCCGAGGTCGCGCGCCTGCACCTGAACCTGCACCCCGCGCTGCCACGCACCGCTTCGAGTTCGACATTGGTGGGCACCACTACTCCTTCGATACCGTGCCCTAGTAGTAGAGTAGGTAATCTTTAACCTTTTTGGGGTAGTAGAATCGCCTTAGAATCCTAAAGGTTAACCTTTAGTTCCCCCAGGTTACTGGACAACTAAGGTGCAGAGTGACATCGAGATCGAAACCGAGCCTCCCTACCAGATCTTCGAGCTGACATCGAAAGCTACGGTCCCCCTGAAAGAGGAGGATGATGTTCTGAACTTCACCATCTACAACCTAGGCAGGCACCAGAGAGAGAGAGAGAGCGAGCGACAGAGAGAGATAAACAGAAAAAATCAAAAACGAGAGAGAGAGAGAGAGAGAGAGAGCTAGAGAGAGCTCACGGGAGCTGCTTGTGTGAGTTCATGTAGGCTCCCACGTGCGGGATGCATTTAACTTCGATGCTGCCGTCGAGCCGCAAATCCTGAATCCTTTATCCCAGCTCCCAACTTGGCGTTCGGCATGGTTTCCCGGGCCTTAGCTGTCATATGGGTTTAGGGTTTAGGGTTTAGGGTTTAGGGTTTAGGGAGTACCCATGGCCCTGAACCTTCAAGCAAGCCCGAACCCTTGTCCTACGGCTGGGCACACGAAAGCACCTCGTTGCCCTCCTCTTGGAGCTTCGTGGGCAGTTGTAAGCACAGGGTTGTAAGTGCCCGAAGTACGGGTATACTAGCTGCCCTACTTAGCCCTAAACCCTAAACCCTAAACCCTGAACCCTCAACCCTAAACCTCTCTATCACGTAATATTTAAACCTTAATGATCTCGTGGTTCAAAGCAGTTTTTTCGTGGTTCAAGGCAAGTATTTCGTGGTTCAAGGTCAATTCTCGTGGTTCAAGGCAATCTTTTCGTGGTTCAAGGCAAATAAAAAATTGCCTTGGACCACGAACAGATTGCCTTGAACCTTAAACAATTGCCTTGGACCACGAAAAAATTGCCTTGAACCACGAACGATTTGGTGGTTCACTTCGTGGTTCAAGGCAATTTTCCGTGGTTCAAGGCCAGTTCTCATGGTTCAAGGCATTTTGTTCGTGGTTCAATTCAAGGCATTTTTTTCATGGTTCAAGGCCATTTTTGCGTGGTTCAAGGCCATTTTTTCGTGGTTCAAGGCATTTTTTGTGGTTTAAGGCCATTTTTTCGTGGTTCAAGGCATTTTTTGTGGTTTAAGGCCATTTTTTCGTGGTTCAAGGCATTTTTTGTGGTTTAAGGCCATTTTTTCGTGGTTCAAGGGGTTTAGGGTTTCAGGGCCTCGAGGCCTGGGGTTTCGGGTTTCAGGGTCTCAAGGTCTGGGGTTTCGGGTTTCAGGGCCTCAAGCCTAAAGTTGAGCGTTTCAGGGCCTTTTTAAACGGGTTTAGGGTTTAGGGTTTAGGGTTTAGGGTTTAGGGTTTAGGGTTTAGGGTTTAGGGTTTAGGGTTTAGGGTTTAGGGTTTAGGGTTTAGGGTTTAGGGTTTAGGGTTTAGGGGCCTTTAACCGGGGGGTTTCAGAGCCTCCAGGCCTGTGTTTAGGGTTGCAGGGAACCAAGGCCTGAGGCTCAGGGTTGCTGAGCCTCAAGGCCTCGGGTTTGTTTGGAGGTTCATGGTACTTATTAGCCAAGTAGAACTGTACTTAAAGGGTTTAGGGTTTAGGGTTTAGGGTTTAGGGTTTACGGTTTAGGGTTTAGGGTTTAGGATAGCTGTACTTATAACCATGTTAGGGCACTTGAGGGGCTTATAAGTGGGTTATAAGTACAGATATACTTGGTTGATAAGTACCATGAACCTCCAAGTAGGGTTCAGGGCCTCAAGGCCTGGGGATTAGGGTTTCAGGGCCTCGAGGGCTGACAAATGGGGGGTTTCAGGGTTCAGGGCCTCAAGGCCTGGGGTGTAAGATCACAAGGACCAGACAAGCTTCGTAACAGATCTCCAGGCAATGAGGTTAGCACAAAGAGTTGTTTTTTTTGTCCGTTCATTCCAAGGCTAACGCAGCGCGCAAGAGATGCAATGGCAAGAAAATCAAGTTAACAAAATTAGGTGTTTTTTTGTTGTGGCCGTTCGTTTCAAGCATATTTTTTTGAAGCTGAGATGATTGGAGAGAGAATGCTTCTAGTTTTATTTTCTGAATGATATGGGATTCTATGGGTGGGTGGGTGTTATATCAGAGCCGTAAATAGAGCTTACCATAAAACTGCTCGATCCGGAGAGCTGCTGAACCCGAAGCCCTAAACCCTAAACCCCCATAAGCCCCCTACTTCTTAGCACGCGTGAACCTGTAAGCACAAGACTCCGAGCAGGCGCGCCTAGCGACGCCAAAGTGACCCCGCGTCTCACCGCCAAGGACTTGGGCTTCGGGGGGGTTTAGGGTTTAGGGTTTAGGGTTCAGGGTTTAGGGTTCAGGGTTCAGGGTTTAGGGTTCAGGGTTTAGGATTTAGGGTTTACGGTTTAGGGTTTAGGGCTTATAAGGGTTTGGGGTGGATTTTGTTGATTCTCTCTCAGCAACAGCCATACACCCTCCGAAGCCGTAGGTCCAACGTTTGCAAAGTTAAGGGCCCCCAAAAGGGCCCAAGAACCCTTCACGACAGGCAAGCTTTGAAACCAGCAGGCGCCCCAACATCATTTGCAAGGCATCGTCGTGTAGTTTTACACCCTAATAACCCTAAACCCTAAACCCTAAACCCTAAATTAAGGGCTCTATGGCCTGCACGTTCCCAGGACTTCCTTCGAAAGCTGACGACGTCTTACGTGGGGAGCAGCAACGCGGATGGCGAAGTTCGTGAGGCGGTGATAGGGCTTGTCAGACACACATGAAGCAAGTAGAGAGGGTGCTGCGCAGGTCCTGTCGATCTTTCGAAACTGGCTTCCAGAACTGTTGAGATGTGTGGTGTCTCTCGCTTGTGTCTCCCTCCGCGCGTACGCGCGCAGGTAGGTTTGTGCGTGTGTGTGTTCATTAATTAGCGGCGAGTTCGGGTGTCTCCAGCCTGGGTAAGTATGGGGCGATCGCCTGATTCGGTTTGCGTAGAGCCGCTAGCCCTACTTACAAGCACCCCATGATCCTTCGAGTCGAAGCTGGCCAGGAGTGGGCGGAGTGGGAGAAGACTGGGCGAACCAGCATTTGCATCGCAGCCTTCGACATCAACGCGCGCGAGGTGCCGGGCAGCGGCTACGACCGCGAGGATCCCGGCTACGACTGCGAGGAGGAAGGAGGCTCATGAAGAAAGCCGCCGCAGGAGGGAACACGGGTTCCGGAGTGATGGTTTAGGGTTTAGGCTGTTTAGGGTTTAGGGTACGGTTTAGGGTTTCAAGTTTAGGGTTAGGGTTTAGGGTTGTGGCAAAGGGGTTTAGGGTTTAGGGGTACTTGGAGGTTCATAGGAAGTTACAAGTCGTGACGGTGAGAAGATGACCAGAGTTGTAATCGCTTGCAACCCTATTTCTCGCTCTACGGTGTTTAGGGTTTTGTTTCACGCTGCGTTTCAGCTTCTCAGAAAGCTGCATTTGTACAGTCTGGCGCCGACGTCTTCTGCAAAAAAGCCAGTCTATTGGGCTGAGACACTTTCAGAGACCCTTCAGATGACAGCACAGAGTCCCAGACCTATTTCGGGTATTTCCCACAAGTGGGGTTGCCACATAAATACCCCCGGGGTCAAGGCCTTGCAAAAACGGAACTCTAATTTAAGGATCCCTTCTCATTTCCCTCCCTTTTCAGTCAACTCCCGAAACTTCCAGTAATCTCCTGTAACGTTTGCTGTTCCCGCAGCCTCACGTCAGCAATGCTGCAGACTGCTGAGAAGTGACCCAGCCGCCTGAGTGACTGCGGAATGTTTTTTTGGCTCAGCCCCCCCCCCCCCCCAAGTCGTTAAACCACAGCCTGCGTTGGAACTGATTGCTGATGGGCAGCTCTACGGCTGCCACTTTATCCCCCCTTGGGAGTTGTTTTTGTTACTGTTGTTACACATAAAACCCAAGAGGATGTTAGAATTATTATGATTATTAAGGTTCTAAGGGGAGTATAGGCTATGGCTGCGCCTACCCACCGCTTCGAGTTCAAGATCTCCGGGCAAGCGTACGCCTTCGACACGGTGAAGAGCGACATCGAGAAGCATTCTCTTCCACCTTATCAGGGCTTCATGATTAACGGAGGGCCTGCGACGCTAGGTTGGCTTTGAGATGCTGATGAAGGGTTTAGGGTTTAGGGTTGTTTTTTCCGGCTGGTCTCAAGCATGCGCATGTTTTTTTCTCGCCCCCCCCCCCTCCCGCCCTCTCCCCTTCCCCCTTCCACTCAGAGACCCTCGACTGCCAGCCAAGGGAAATCCCCCTTCAAGAGCACGACGAGGTGTGCGACTTCACAATCTACCGCACAGACACTCCAGGCGCATGAAGACAAGTTAGGACTCGGCAGGTCCTGAACCCTAAAGCAAGAAGTCAAACCCCATCAGCCCTAAAAGAACATACTAATATATATATATATATATATAATGTATATAATGTATATTATGTATATATATATATATATACATATGTGTGTATATATGTGAGTGTGTTTCAGGGTAGGGGCCCTCCCATCTCTCCATGACGTCGCAATCGTATGTCTGGTTTGTAGGGCTTAGGGTTAATCAACAAGTCCGGTTCAAAAAGGGTTTAGGGTTTGGGTTTAGTCAAGAAACGCTAAACCCAAAAACGGGTTTAGGGTAGAGGGTGTAGGGTTTAGGGTTTAGGGTTTAGGGTTTAGGGGCGACAGCCCATGAGACTGCGAGTCATGTCCCTAGATCGCGACCGAGCCCTGAGGCGAGAAAAAGGTCTTCCCTCCACTGAGCCTTGGTCGCCTTTGGAAGCTACTTCAGGGTTTAAGGTTTGGGGTTTAGGGTTTAGGGTTTGGGGTTTAGGGTTTAGGGTTTTAGGCCCGTTGACCCGTTGATCTTGTTTAAAGAGGCCTGCCCGTGGAACAGGGTATTTCTCTAAAGGGGAAGGTAGAGGAGCGGATTCCCTACCAAAAACTCCCTGTTTCACATCTAGCACCCCCATCGGAGTGTCCCCTAAACACAACCCCCTAGGCTTTGGCGTGTAGGGTTCAGGGTTTAGGGTTTATGGGGTTTATAGGGTTTATAGGGTTTATGGGGTTTATAGGGTTTATAGGGTTTACAGGGTTTATAGGGTTTATGGGGTTTAAAGGGTTTATAGGGTTTACAGGGTTTACAGGGTTTATAGGGTTTATAGGGTTTATAGGGTTTATAGGGTTTATAGGGTTTATAGGGTTTATAGGGTTTATAGGGTTTATAGGGTTTAGAGCTCAAAGCCCTGCATGCCAGGTCCTAACACCCCAAGAACCCAACTCAGGGTTGAGGGTTCATAGCTTAGGGCTTAGGGCTTAAGGTTTAGGGCGCAGGGCTTAAGCGAGTCGGTCCAGTCTTAAGGGCTCGGTTGCTTGGAGGTGCGTGGGTACTTATACTTGTAAACGTGCCGAGAAGTACCCTAAGTCAGGGTTGCAACCATAGGTCCGTTAGCTATAACCCCTACAGAATGAACCTCCAAGTAGGCTCTAGAGTGTGCAATTTGAACCCTAAACCCTAAACCCTAAATCCTAAACCCTAAATCCTAAACCCTGGTGTTCGTGTCACCGGACCGCAAAGTGGGCCCAGTGCTGATGCGTCAGCACCGTCTGCGACTGTTCCGACGGCAGACAAACAAAGACCATCTGGGAGCTCCAACCCAGATGGTGCGTCTAGGTTCATTGAACCAGGGACCCCACTAATCCCTTACACGACTGCTGATGCTGGAAAGCCCATGGAGGGAGTCCAGATCATCACAGATTGGGAAAAGGTAGACCTACGCAAAGACATGGGTCGTAAGATGGAGGCACTCGCTGTCCTCGAGCATGAGGCAAAATCCTGCATCGTTGACGACGACGTTTTGGAACAGCTGCAAGTGACAGCCAAAGCGAGGATCGCCATGCCAGGTGTCACAGACAAAGACATCACGGCAATTCATGTCGCATGCAACTCCCACTCGAATGCTATCGCCGGAATAGGGAACCGGCATTATGCAGAGAAATTTGCCGAGGTAGAATACGACGGTATTGTGTTCAAGAACCAAATAGGCAATCCATGGGAGTTAATCCGCAGAGCTGTCCATGCGGTAATTAGTCGACAAAGTTCTCCCTGCTATCCTCGAGATTGATGAAGAGACCATTCGGAGGCAGGACACAGAACTAATGGAGATACCGCAAAGCGAGATCGTCTCGGAGTTGCATGGGAAATCCCTATTCCCCATGCACAAGTCGGTTGACGAAATCGCTCCAAGCAGCTTCACGGAGCAAATGAAGAAAGACAACTTCGAGGCAGCCTCTGGCACCAAATTGACGAAGCTCCCGCCTACCAAGGCGTTTGTGAAGCCTAATGAAGCTTTAGGGAAGATCAAGCCTAGACTGATCCAACACACAGGCCCACAAGGCACCGCTGCCTCGGCCTTGATGAAAGACAGTCGAGCAGATGATCTTCCGGTTACCTTATTTTGTCCAGCGCAGTATCAAGGGCACCGACAACACTGGTGTCTGTGAGCGTGTCCGACTCTTTTGCAACGAGTATAAATCGGGCGGCTTTGCGTCGACGGATTTCGGGAGTTTCGACTCTTCGATCACTGACAAGTGCACCGTCGACAGAAGCAAGCCAGGACTTAGAAGGATAATCGAGGAAGCTATCATGAAGGCTATTACGAACAAATTTCCAGAGGCTTTCGACTTCAAGAATGTTTCGAAATCAAGGTGGAAAAAGAAGGACAAGATTTTGTTCGACACCTTAACACTGTTCACAGAGGTCCTCACTAGGTACTCTGGAGACGGGTTGACATCTGTTGGCAATTACGCCATCAACTGGTTCGTCGACCGTTCCATTGACATGGTGCTTGAGAGGATTTTCACTATGTGGGATATGCGTGTCTACACCTTGAAAGAGATCATTCAATTCCTGATAAACATGATAGATGATCCTGAGTTCATCAACCAAGTCCTTGAAGGAGTCAAAAAGAAAGCGACACGCCTCGCGGAGACCATCATACGCGTTTCGAAAGGTCTTCATGTCACGAAGGAAGATTCAGAGTTCCTGAACGGGGAGGGGGACGACAGACTCAAAGGATTTCGTTGGGCCTTCATCCAGAAATTTGAGACGAAGGACAAGAAAGGAAAAGACGCCCGACAGGTCCTTGGAGTGATGACGGCAGTTATGTACACTGCCGCTGGCATGAGTTTGGAACCCCAGGACCGCACAGGCCGGGTTAGTGCTGAGAAACTTATTGACAAGTCACAGCGCATCGAATTCATCAGCCGGATATTCGTCCCACTCAATGACGGAAAAGCGATGAGGAGTTTTCCAAAGCTCCGAAAAACATTCGCGGCCGCCACCATCACCTTCAACGTAAACGACCCATTCTTAACCGCAGCAGCGACGAAAATGCTCTCCATCATGATGATGTGTGAGCAATGCCCGTTGCAGTTCCCATTTTACTCGCTGATTTACCGGTACTACAGATGCAGAATCACCGACGAGACGATTATAACCGGTAAACGCAAGTATGAGTGGTGGGAGCTCAAGCTGATGCACCTCATCACAGACAACGGGTTGCAGAACAGCATGTCAGCAATCTACGCCCACCTCATGAACCGGGCTTACGGGTATGTATCCCCAGAAATTGCTGATGGAATGCTTGATGCAGTCGCAGCTGAGACGCGATTGGCCAAGAGTGACTTGGTCTGCCTGATAGACGCTCTAAATGGAGCAAAAGGGGACGATCTAGGATCCGTCCAAGACCTGGTGCAGAGGTACGTGGCAATTTTGCCACCGGTCTGATTTCAGACCCTGCACACATGAGGCAAAGGACGGGGAGATTGTAGTCAAGGTGATGCCAACACCTTGACGGAGGGTCCAGAGCATGGTACCGAGCCCCATGCTTTCCGCCAGTGACCAACTAACAGTGTAGTACCGCAACCTGCGTGCGGGAATTCCAGAACCGCGCTATACTGGAACTGGGCTGACCTTCTGATGAGCTTGCCACCGGATAGCGCGCGAAAGCCCACCTGTCCGAAGGGATGCGGATCCCGAGGCAGAATCAGGACGGGTGCGGGGGGTGGAGTCATGGTGGTAGGCCCAGCAAGGGCTGAGTCCACTGGCAGGTAAAGCCAGGCTCCTAACGCAGAGACAGGCGAGATTACGCCCAGCGGTGGTATGGCACCCACCGTTGACCTCCCGGAAATGAGCTGCGCCACTCTAGCCTGCCCCTCCACGTTTGACGTGTATGCTGAGGGGTGGCGGAGGATTCACAAGCATTCTGCCCGATAATGCCCCTTGTCTTTGTGACATGGCCATCCCCTGGCCGGCGCGAATGGAAGTGTCGTGGTGGTTGCTGCAGTCGGGTTTACTATCGTTGGGATCAATGTGGTTTTTGGGTTGCTGCGGTCGGTGGGGGAGCAGATGTCAGATGCAGAGTAGGAGAACAATGGGCAAGCTACAAAGCAGGCTAGCCCTGAGGATGCTGGGGGTGAACCGGAATGGCCACCCCGTGGTGAGCAGTTGAAGGACAACTCTATGCGTTTGACTGTTTCCAACTGTTTTCGTTGAGCTGTGTGTTCCAAGTGGCAACTGCTCCAAACCTTGTTTGCTGTGTGTGGTGCAGGGCTTGAAAGGCCACTGTACAAGAGCTTGCGTCAAAGCCTGGCCGTTAGTCTAGCACTTTGCACACTCGTGAGAACAAGCTGCTGGGCTGCATGGAGCGATGGTGGATTGGTGTGCGTACTGGTTTATCTAGTCTGGGTTGACATCTCATGCAGCTTCAGTAGCGACTTGAAGCCTCTCCTGAGTCCGGCAGCAGGTCGTCGTGTGTTTTATTGTTGGTGAGGGTGCTGTTGTCCCAGCTGTGGACTCGGGAGTTCCAGTAGTCTTGATTTTGGTGTAACCGAAGGTGAACGCGTATGCAGTATATCCAGACATTCCCCTGCAGAGTGTCCGACAGGTCAGCTAAGCGGGTGGCAAAAAAAAACCCTAAACCCTAAACCCTAAACCCTAAACCCTAGTTGTTCTGAGGGAGGAACATGGCAGCCATGGCCCCATGGCACTTGCGAAGCGAAACCCAAGATTCTAACGATTCTCAAGGGTTTAGGGTTTAGGGTTTAGGGTTTAGGGTTTCGCATTCTATCTTCGCCTGGTCCGCACCCTTGGCGGTGCCGCTTGCGGCTGAGGAGTCGTCCTAGCCTCGAATAGTCCCTGCTGGGTCGGCTAGGTGGCAGACAAACCCCGGTTTGGGGTTTAGGGTTTAGGGTTTAGGGTTGAGGGTTTAGGGTTTAGGGTTTAGGGTTGAGCTCTTGGAAGTTGCCCTGGGCTTTCATGGGCAGAACCAAGGAAAGCCAAAGAATTCCTACAGAAGCTGGCGACGCCGCATTGCGCAGGCACCAGACCCAGCGGTGAGATCTACGAGGCCTTGGGTGTTAGGGGTTTATAGAGTTTTGGGGTTTTTCAAGGTTTATAGAGTTTAGGGTCTACAGAGTCTATTGGGGTTATTCAACAAAAGCTTCTTTAAGGTTTCAGGGGTAAAATGGCCAGGAGTGGGCCGAATGGGAGAAGACCAAGCGCACCAGCATCTCTTTCGAGGCCTTCGATATCAACGCGCGGGACGTGCCCGGCAGTGGCTACTACAACATGGGGTCAAAGGCACTGAGCAGTGCGGCCTAATATGGGTCTAATCACCCCCAAAACCTTATTCTAACTATTAAGGCCCCTATATTTGAGCTTTGAAGCCCGGCCATCCAAAAAACCAATCAAGTTGGCTCTGTGCGTGCTAAGCCAGAGTTGTCTCATTCCCGTGCCTGCTTGAAGCGGCGACTGTACAGAGCGCCAGCGCGAGTGGCAAAAATCTGCATGCACGGCGTGCCTTCCGTGTGCATCGCTTCATGAGTACATGGCCACGTCCTCACCAGAAGAAGTGTGCGAGGTTTTCGGCTGCGTAGTAGGAACCCTAAACCCTGCTCCATATTCTAAACCCCCAAAATGACCTAAACCCTAGACGCTCGACCCTAAACCCTAAACCCTAGAACCTAGACCCTAAACCCTTAACCCTAAACCCTAAACCCTAAACCCTGTTTAGAAGAGCCTCCCCTGTCGATCAGCCACAGGACGTGGACGCTGCCTCTACGGGGCTGTTGCTACCAGAAGCGACTGATGGGCCCGTGCTTGGAGGAACATGGGCTTCATCGCCTTGGGGTCTCTCATTTTGGGTTGAGGGCTCAAGGGGCTTGGGTAGCCCTTCCCTATTTTGGGTTCATGGGTTTCCTATAAAGTAACCAACCCAAAAAAGGGTGCCCTTGTTATGATATAATTAATAGCTAGGCTACCAAGTCATGGGTATTCATAAGCGGGGTAGCCATGGCTTACTTTGGGTAGTTAGGACCCTACTTAGCAAAATCACGAACCTCCAAGTAAGGTGTGTAGGAGAACGCTGGGAATGACTTCCCTCGACCTTCAACCTACGAGACCGACGACCCCCCCCCCCCCCCCCCCCTTCGCCCCCCACGACGTTTAGGCTTGCTCTAGCTTCAACCTTATTGTGGGTGTTTTTCGCAACTAGTGCTTAGGATTTAGGCTTCTGATTGCCCATTAACCTCGAACTCGGTTGTAGGTGGCCTCAGTTGCAGCCGAGCCTGTGACACACATCAGCGTCGCAGAAAGGGGCCCGCATCAGGGATTTTGCCTGCAGCTGACCCCAATCCTGGGATCCTGGAAACCTAAAGGCCCTAAATCCGAAGCTGAACCCCAAACCCACTGGCTTCGGATGATTTTGTTTGGGGTTTAGGGCATAGGATTTAGGTGTTTGGGTTTGGGGGTTGGGTTTGAGGGGAGCCTGAACGTCCAGGCTTGGCGGGTTTAGGGCTTGGGGTGGCTTAGGGTGTAGGGTGTCCCTCAACCCTGGGGACCCTGCTCCCTAATTAAACCGTTTGGGGTTTGGGATCCCTAACCCCTGAACCCCTAAACCCCAAACCCCAAACCCCAAACCCCAAACCCCAAACCCTAAACCCATTTAAGGGCTCCTTGGCGAGTTCGGCCCAATCCCAAGCCGGGAAATGGGCGGAGCCGAGCGTTGCGATGTGGAGCCATGCATCCTCGCTGCAGATGCTGGGTTTAGGGTTTGGGGTTTTGGGGTTCCCACAAGCCGGGCTGTGGCCCGAAACGTTCACAAGCCTTCTTTCCACACGCGCACGTGGTCAAGGCTTTGTTTCGGAGGAGGGCCCTAGGCTATGTTCGTAAGGGAAGTGTTCAATTTCTGCGCCCTTACCGAAGCTCATAGCACATCCGACATCGATTGATGGCTGGACCCACTGAGAGATTGCAACACCAAAAATCTAGCAGGGTTCCTAACATTTATTTAGGGTATATCGCTTAAGGGTTATTGGGCTCTTCTGGGAAGATCCAAGTAGATCCAAGGCCCGAAAGCACCACGGGCGCAACAGGGCCCCCCCTGGAACTGAGGAGCAATGGAATGGAGCCGTGCGCACGGCCGTGCCCTGTGTCAGACCTCACTGTATCCCGGTCATGAACCATGGGTGCTCAGGTTTCTGTCGCGGGTGGCTTAATTCAGAAGAGTAGAAAGGTTAACCCTAAACCCTAAACCCTAAACCCTAAACGGTTTGAAGGGCACAGGGTTTAGTCGGACCCTTGGTCCCGCACGATGCCGCTAGACGCCACTGGGACTGCTGACACGGCCGGTTGGTGGTATTCCCATATGCCCACTTGTCTTTATGTATTGCATTGAATCTAGACATACATATACATATTCATGTACATACAAATATACATCATATACATATACATACACACACACACACACATATATATATATATATATATGTACACATCTATACAACGCATCTGCTCATTGTTCTGCATTCTTATGTGTATAGTTATATGTGCATGCAACATGTGGGTCGGCTGGTTTTTGCCCCTTATATAGTTATAAACTTCTAAGCTTATACTTACGCATTTCCATACTTACAACTTATTGACTTACATGCCCATACATTGTTTCATTTGTGCACCCACATATTTCTATGCTTATGTGTATAACTATGTGTGTATTATATATATATATATATATATATATATTTCTATATATACATATACATACATATATATATATATGTATATATGTTCCTGTTTTTGTTTGCATTACAACTCAGGATGCTAGGAATGCTGAGGCGGGGTGTGGGGTGAGGTTTCTACGAGGGGTATCTTTGGATTTGTGTTGCCGCTTCTGGGGTTAGCTACTCTAAACCCTAAGCCCTAAACCCTAAGCCCTAAACCCCAAGCCCTAACCCTAAACCCTAGACCCTCGACCCTAAACCCTCAACCCTCAACCCTAAACCCTCAACCCTAAACCCTAAACCCTAAACCCTAAACCCGAACTTTTCTCCAGGCAGTCATGCCCGAGGATCCCTCCTGCCGCGAAGATGTCGGCTTGCTTGAGGCGGTGCTCGAAAGTGCTTTGGGGGGTTTAGGGTTTAGGGTTTAGGGTTTAGGGTTTAGGGTTTAGGGTTTAGGGTTTAGGGTTTAGGGTTTAGGGTTTAGGGTTTAGGGTTTAGGGTTTAGGGTTTAGGGTTTAGGGCGGGTTCAGGGTTTAAGGTTTAGGGTTTAGGGTTTAGGGTGTGCCCAGGTGATTCTACAAGGGTTGAGGGTTTAGGATTTAAGGTGTCTCCGGCAATGTTTCTAGAATTTATGGGATTTATAGGGTTTACAGGGTTAGGGTTTAGGGTCGAGGGTTCAGGGTTCCAGCAGAGGCCTTGCAGGCAGGATGCTAGAAGGCTTGTAGGGTTTAGGGTGCCATGCAGAATTCACAGCTGAAAGCAAGCAAAACCTTGTGGCCCTGAATCTCCCGCTGCCCAATTCGGCAGGGTTTAGGGTTGAGGGTTGAGGGTTTAGGGTTTAGGGCTTAGGGTTTAGGGTTTAGGGGCCCAAAGACCAGCAGTCCCAAACCCCCAACCCCCACAAGGCTTCATCCCGAACAGGCCTAAAATCCGGGAGGTGTGTAGGGTTGAGGGGGAGTTTCATAGGGTTTTGCATAGGGTTATATATGGGGCCTAAGGATTTTACGGCTCACATTGGGTTGATAGGGTTTTCCTTTGTTTTCCCGCAACTTGCCTGCCGCCCCAAAAAAACAAGGCAGAAGGTAAACTGAGGCTGGCTTTCGAGTTCTCATCTAGGCGGTTTAGGGTTTAAAGATTAGGGTTTAGGGTTTAGGGTTTAGGGTTTAGGGTTTAGGGTTTAGGGTTTAGGGTTTACGACATCGACGTCACCCCCTCAAGGGTCCTGCGGCTTTGGGGGACTCCAGGGTTCTGACCTTCTCTTGATTGGGCCCCTTTCATACAGGCCCGTCATGCTCAGAGTTCCCATGACTGGTTCGCCATGATGTAGAGAGCGCTTAGGGCCTTAAGGGATTACGGCCTTACGGCCTTAGGGCCTTAGGGCCTTAGGGCCTTAGGGCCTTAGGGCCTTAGGGCCTTAGGGCCTTAGGGCCTTAGAGCTTAGGCCTTAGGGTGTAGGGTTTAGGTAGGCCTCAGGGTGGAGGGTTCAGGGTTGCAGTGCAGGATGTTGCAGATCATGCCTTGGCCAGCAGCAGCAGGCCCGGTCGCGGGGGGGGGGGGGGGGGGGAGTCTGCGGCCTGGCGTGTGTACTACTATTTGCTCCAGAACCCCCAACAAAATTAAAGAAGATAGTTGTAATCCCTAAACCGTAAGCCATAAAGGGATTGTTATCTTTTTTTTTGGGGGGGGGCAGGTCTGCGGGCTCTTATGCGAATATTAGTATAGGGCTTGGGGTTCGGGGTAGGGTTTGTAGGATGTTCATATTGGAGGTTTCATGTTCATACACAGAAGGAGGGCTATTGTATGCACCCTAAAGAGGTCGAGAACTCATGAAACGAATACTTACCGTACTTACAGTGCCACTTCCAAGTACTCATGAATCCTCAAGTATGGCTTCGGCTGCGGAATTGACAGGGTGCCCCGCGAGAGTGACATTCCTGAGTTCATGACATCCCTGAGCTCAATCCCAAGATTCGAAGCTTCCAGCAAACTCAGGCTTCAGGTTTAAGGGTTGAGGGCTATAGGAATCGACACAACGTGTCTGAACATGGAAAGGAAGGCCCTGAACTGTTCAAGAGTTTGGGTTGAGGGTTTAGGGTCTCGAAAGCCCGCTCTCAATCCTGGGCGCGCTGTCGTGACCCGAAGCAAAACCATAGGAACTTTATAGGGTCCTTCAGGGTTTAGGGTTTAGAGTCTCGGGTTTAGGGAGGTTCTTATAGGAACCGGAAGCGACGGCTCCGTGAGCTTGCACAGCCTTGCCTAGGTGCCTACCCCCTCCATGAACCCTTCCCCCTTGGGAACCTTTAAGAACTTCCCTCAAGTTTAGGGTTTAGGGTTTACGGTTTAGGGTTTAGGGTTTAGGGCCTAAACCCTCAAGGACTATAGAACCCGGGTAGATCTACAGGCCAGTGGTGCAGTGGTGCCAAGATCCCTGGGCCCTCCGGCAGAGGAATGACTCCCTAAACCCTAAACCCTAAACCCTAAACCCTAAACCCTAAACCCTAAACCCTAAACCCTAAACGATGTACTTTCAGGTGCATAGGTTGGGATGTTCCCCTGTATACTCACAGTCCTGAACAGGGTTTCTAGTGCCCCCCCTAT